GGAGAAGTCAGATTAGGTGTTTGACACCAGCACTCACGTGGAACTGGCAACAACAGAGTCACTGAGTAAGACTCCAAATAAAGCAAAGGTACCTTTTCTTTGGTTTCACTGATTCTGTCGTCTCCATTAAGTTGGTGTTGTGAATATAGTCTATAACGGTGTAGTGGATGTCAGCTTGTGTCAGTCAAAATGACATGAACACACCCAAAAAGAAAAGAACGCCCAAGTGGTGGGAAAGTGAAACAGGGGATCATCGTTTTAGCGAAGGACATACAGGACATGTGGCTGAAGGAGTTGGGAATTTAACCCCGACCTTCCGGGTTGAGAGACGACCGCCTCTACCACTGAGCCTCATCTGACATTTAAATTTAAGGAACCTAACCATATCAACCCAAGGCTGTTATAGTTCCTACAATATGTGACGCCTGAGAAGAAACCACGGGGTCAACTTTAAGTTACACTGTTTTAAAAATAGATTTATTAAACATATCCCCAAATGAAGTGTAATACAGCGTGTCACCACCATCCTACTTTGGCCGCAACCACAGATCATTTTCATTATCGATTGATAATTCATTTGAATTGTGATGTTTCCATGGTGATGAGTTTGATTGTTTCTTTGGATTAACCAACAGTCAAACTGCACAAGAAATGAATTTACTGTCAAATCTGACAAAGAAACATTTTAAAGTTGGAACAGGCAAATCTTTGACTTTTCTTGTTTGAAAAATGATCAAATAATTAAGTGAGGTTAAAAAATGAAGTTTCCTTTTGAGCAACAAACTGATTTTTCAGCTAATTGTTGCAGCTCTAACTTCTTCTCAATCTCTGGAGGGCCATTTCAAAGGACTAATCCAGGACGCGATAACACTGGACCCTGTTGGCCTAACCCTAATTCCCAAAGTTTATATACATAGACTTTTAATGTCAGCTTTAGAAGGGATCCTGCTGATTGCTGGACGCCGCTATCTGTCCAGCATTGTCCACCATCACTGTGAGTGTCCTTGTCCGACATGTGGTAGCACCCTGAGTCAATAAACCTCCAATCACCATCAGGAGACAGGAGCTACTATATCGGTCCGTCAGAGCTGTCACAGTGTTTGGTTTCAGTTGGTTGGTTTTGTTTTAGCTTTAGTTAATGGACCATGGATCACTTGGACTTACTGGAGAGTGGAGGTTGGTGGAGTGATTTGGTAAAGTGACACCAGGGGAGCTCAAAGTGAAAATAAACCCAGGACACTTAAAAAACACAGGGTGAAATCTATTAGCCCTCAGCATTATGGGAAAGTGAATCCAAAATGGAAAAATTCCGACTCTTCTTTTTTTTTTGGTTTCACGCTAAATATCCCCCTGAGGAATAATTACCATCAGTATCTCATTTCAGACTTTTATTCTAAAGGCAGATCACTCTAATTCTGATAAAACAATGGCGGGTTAATTATAGAACATTCTTTGATTTGCGATGAAGGCGACTTAATTATCACAAGAACAAGTGCTCTCACACAGCTTTCACATTCTTCATGGCTTTAGCGGGGGAGCAGTAGAAAGCTCTTACTGGGTAATACAATTAGTTTCCACTTACATGTCTGATGAGAAGAGACACTATATGTCTCTACCTGTGTGTATCTCTGATTAGTCATCCTGTAACAGCCACAGCCACTCTCCAGCAGTGTTTCAAACAGTGACTGTGACCAAACTATTAGACGACAATTCTGCTTCTCGGTTGACAAAGACCTTTGAATTAAACACCCTTTATTTATTTTCCATTTCTGGACATGACAAACTGAACACCTTTGAATTAACTAAGTGTTATTTAGGGATAATCAGCGATGGAAAGACAGTAACATGACCTCTGCTGAGTGGATGCACGGCTCCTTTTTTCAAATATTTTAGAAATTTGACACTGTGTTTGCTTTATTTTGTCCAAACATGACCATATCTGTAGTAGATCTAGTGCCCTAAACTAAACCAGGCTTTTAACATCTGGTAGGCAACCTCTGGGAAACCAGCATTAATAAACTAGATTTCACCAAATACTGGTATAGACACGCCCATTCCCACCTACACAATCACTCGCTTGATTTGCATTTGTGTAGTGCCAATTCATAACAACCGTCATGTCAACAAACTTTAGAAAAAGAAGCAGGTCTAGACTGTAATCTATGTTATATTATGTACAAAGACCAAACATTAATCAACCATGAGAACCAAGCAACATTGAGCAAAGTTACAGTGGCAAAGAAAAACTTTCTTTAAGAGGCAGAAGGGTTCGACTCATGATGAACAGCCCTCTGCTTTGTTGGGAAGAAGAGCACAAAGCACAGTCTGCAGAGCTGTCACAATATCAGAATGTTAACTTTGATGTAGTACTCGTAAAAGTCAACAGATACAGGTGCAACGGAAACAAAAGTCCTAGGCACCAGGTACTGGGGGAATGTCTTGTTTTTATTAGCTATACATGAGGGCAAACTCCTGCACATTCTAAAACGAGGGTGAACCTTGTGTTGGCTTTCGCCCGTGGACGCAGAGTTGACCTGCTTTCTGTTGGACAGACAGGTGCCAAACACTGGTGGTTAGCATGTGCTAGCATGTGGTAGCTTGCAGTGTTAGGTACAAGCAGTAAACATACACACTACAGTATGTTCTGCAGTGACTGTGTGCTTCTGGCAGCGATGAGCCCAGGAGGAGGAGCCCAGTTTGAATGTCACATTTACAAGCTGCAACAAATATTTCTACTGACTCCACCTTTATGATATTATATGATATCCATATTACAAGATGGATTTTCAACAACAGATGCATGTCAATCCAGAACTCCAACAAAAGAGATACACCAATGAACAAAGCACTAGAGAGTGACTGACTTTGTCATTTAGGTATGGACACTTCTGGATTTTGAGATGTAACGACATGCTTACTTGTCAACTTTCACTTTTTGTTATGACCTTACAGAAATCTTGCAGCTGACTCATCTGTTGCTTCAGACACTGCTTGTAAAATATTCAGCACAAAATCTCATTGGTGTCAATAAAAGACCAAAAAATCTTTCCACCTCCTGAAACTTAAGTTGAAACGTTGCCTGTTTCTGACTTCACACAACTCTTGAGTTAGAGTTCAGAGTCATACCTGCAAGTTACTTTAAAGTGCACAAACTCTCCTCCCCCTCTTTCTCCTTCTCTACATGTCTTTCCTCAGCTCCATCTGTCCCTTCTGTCCAAGTCACTGACATCAGAGAAAGGCCTTCTATTCAGTCCAGGCGACAGTGTAAATACACAAGACGTGACAATGACGGATGACTCGGTGTCAGCACGCCGCCTTAATCAAGGACCGGCTGCCTTTTTCTGCTCTCCCTCCACTCGCACACACACACAAAACAATTAGTGCTACAGCTGCATCTGACGCAAAAAGCGGGGAAAATCAAATCTGTAGACACTTAACTGCATTCACAAACATGTTCAGATGTGACCTCAAACTGTGAGTCTTCACTCTGCAGACTAACAAATGTGTCCTGTCAAGAGAGAGTGAAACAGCCAACACAGGGAACACTTCCCAAATGCAGAAACAGGTGAGCGTTGGATAAAACCCTCTGAGTGTGAACAACTGGATTCATATTTGAAGATCAATATGTGCAAGTTCATGTGGTCCGTTGTTGTTCCTGTACAGTTTGTGTCACCTTCTATCTTTGTAGTGAATCGACTGGTTCTACAAAGCTGCAGAGACTGGTTGTAGTTTTTCATTTTATTATTTTTTTATTAATGAAACCTCTTTGAATTCTGGCTCAACTCTGCAGCTAAGAGAGTTCCCCTCAGCTAAATGATGTGCCATTAAAATAATAAATAATTATCAAGTTTACTTATGAGAAAACAAAGAGTAAATGAAGGAAATATGGGACTGCAGAGAGAGATCTGAGATGATATGAAGGACCTGGGACTCAGAGGTATTCATCATCTATCTTCTAACTCTGATTTAACTTTGACTATTGCTACTGTTTTTATGGTTTTATTGAAATTGTAGCACTTTGAGATTTTCATTTAAATGTAAAGGGTGTTATAAATAAAATGTATTTTTATCATAATCTTGAGTACTGTACATATTTATGAAACGATGTGCACTTTTCATGAGTAAGAAAGTTACTAAAGAAGAAATATTTCTAAGTTAAAAATGGTGTATTATTGGGCGCCGGTAGCCTTGTACTTGATGTACATGCCAGATGTATACAGAGGCTGTAGTCCTCCAGGCAGACACCACGGGTTCGAGTCCAACTTGTGGCTCCTTTACCGCATGTCATTCCCCACTCTCTCTCTCTCTCTCTCCCTGATTTCTGCCTCTATCCACCGTCCCGTCTCTAAACAAAGGCATAAAAAGCCTGAGAATAAACCTCTTAAAAAATAGTGTCATATTTTGCCGCCTTTCTCATTTGTTACATTTATCTGTAAAACAGTTGGCATAGGAACAATAACACCTGAGAATGAAGAGTATACCACATGCTGCATTGGAAATAGAGTCCATTTAACAGGGCTTTATTTTATAAGTGTTCATTCTCCTGTGATAATCCCATTGGTACATCATCATAATGCTGCCATACTCCTTTATTATGACTCAATGAAACTCCTGCAAACACTTCCTGCACATTTACTTCTCAATAGTTTGATGCCATTCTCCTGGTATTTCTTTGCTTGGAATTGTTCACAGGAGGTGTTAAAAGTTAATTTGTTGCTGCTTTACACGGCAAGAAGATCATGAGAGTAGAACTATTCTGACACGACTCTCTTGTTGAACTGATGGAATTAGAGCTGAGAAACTTTGAGTTCTAATGGTGTATCATCATAACACAGCTGTACCTTCTGAATAGTACGACCCCTGAAGGGCTTTTAAGTTTAACATCAGATGCAATCACCACTTCTACCTCTCAGTCCCAGGCCTCAGATATGCAACTTGAAGAGAAATGATGGTGATGGTTGAATCTTTCCATTCTACCTTCAGTGCACCGGGGTCCTTACCTGTCTTGGTCTCAGGACGAGGAGTGAGGTTAATCTCGTCGGCTACTGTTAAAGGAACGGGGAGGAAAGAAGGGAGGGGGTACAAACATTTGGGGGTTCAAGTTAGTGCTCATGACATTCCACATGCAACATCCAGGTACAGCGCTGCAATCATCACAAACTGCTTCATCTCAATTAGGATCGGACGCCATGCGAGACAAGGAAGGGTTTGAGTTGGATGGGGAGTGAAAGAGAGAGAGAGAGAGAGAGAGAGAGAGAGAGAGGGAAATGAAAAAGAGGGCTCGAGGATAGCAATCAGACTTGTTGTGATATCAACACGGCACACGGCAGCAATCTGGTCGAGGAAGATTAGATATGATTATAGAGAGTGCGAGCAGAGAGTCTGTTGCAGCCAAAGCAATCAGCGACTGTTCGAAGCCATTTTCAAGGTGAATCAACAGAGTGAAGTTCTTGACTTTGGAGAGAGATGCAGAGTCTGTTTTCATACAGGGAGTCAAGTGGGTGGAATACATTAAAACATAAGGAACATGTTGGAGACATTGGGGGGGCGTGCAGGGATGTGTGCTCGAGGTTACATGAAATCAGGTTTTCTTTGGGTTTTATGGAGTTGGAGTGCAAAGTTTATGGAAAGATGTACACATGATTTCAATTCTTAAATGTCTATATTCAGTGTACCCATTGTATCTCTTTTAAAGTTCATGACAGGCACTCCCTGATTTTAGCGCTCAGCGAGGCCGTGGAATAACTTGATGATGAACTGAGTGGTATTTGTGCACAGTAAGAATTGTAAAGTGTTATGGGGATAAATGTCACCAAAAGGACAGCCCAAGAGAAGAGAAAATTACCCAAAGGATAAAACCTTTTAAACCTCTCATGTTGCTATGGAAACACCATGTTTTACACTGTGTAGGAAGGGACAAACTTTCATGTTAAGGGCTTAAGAGCATTCGCATCACAGGGAAGTCTAAATGATGATATAATAGATAAATATTATGGTCATCAAATTCATAATCATATTTTTAATGAATATATCGGTAAACTTATTGTACACAGAAACAGGCTGGGAAATATAGTTAAACTTTGAAGAAAGCTTGTTGGCATTGACTTGAATGATTTTGGTTTTTCAAGGTATACACCCTCAGGGTTGACTTACGCTAGCAGGGCCAAACCTAACGGATATCTTCAGTCATTTGTCCCATTAGCACATTGGATTTTGAATTAGTCATAGGCATTGTTGCCACTACAGGTATTGACTGTTGGAGTCTCATATCTGACTACACGTCTATCACGATGACATCAATGGGAGATATGTATTACATGTATGTATTGATGTCTTTGTGCAGTTCTTGGGATGTTTATAGACTGTGTAGACTTTTGTTGCAAACCAAAATGCCCTCAATAAACCATGATGTATTGCATTATAATGTCTGTATATGTTTAGGATCACTATGTCTAATGCTTCTCTATTAATCCTAAAAGCCGAGTTACAGAGTAGCCACGGCTACAAACCTGTATGCACGTTAACTACTTTGTGTTTTAGATATGAAGAAATGTTCATTGGATGTTTCCCTGTTAAGTTAACATGTAAAAAATTGACAAAAAAGTTCAGATTTTCTGATTCAGATTTTCAGAAGTGATCTGAAAAGATGACAGATGGAAGGTGTCTATCTTTGTTGTAGGACTTCGGTTTCATTTCAGACCAAATTTAATGTTTTGCAACTTTGAGAAAAATCTAATTTATGAATTTCAACTTGGATTTTGACAGGAATGATAAAGTCAAGACCAGAACCGACAAGAAAATCAACCAAATGACAAAAGATTCAGAAAAAGAGCTGGGACACAAGCGTATATAACATGACATCTTGAACATGTGAAAACTGGCTCTGCTGACTTCATTCTAATGAATCCCAATCCTTAAATACTTCTGGTGTGTATTATTAAAAGCTTTAATCTGACAAAAGTTCAAGTTTGGATTCAGATATTGAGTTACAAGTTATCCATGAGAACCTATACTTTTCCTCAGTCCCTGGTCTTGATGATCTAACAACATCTTAATGAATACCTCAAACAGTAGAAAGAACATGGACATTTTAATAGTTGTACCTAGATCCATGCTTTTGGACTTGCGTGTCTTGATGATCTCCAGATGGGCGGCATCTCCGAACTGCTTGGTGCGTTTTTCCGACATACTCTGGCGTCCGAAGCCCTCCCTTTGGAAAGCAGCGTCAGGATTATTTTCATCTGGACTCTTGGAGCTGGATGGAGGGATGAAGGTTGGGAAATGGAGATTAGAAAAATTACTTTAGAAAGATCCAAAACAGGGAAAATTGTGCCAGCGCACTAAAAAGGAAAGACGAGAGTAGAGGAATTATATAACTATTATTTCTATCATGTTCTAAATTAAATATCAGTGACCTGGAGAGAGAGAGGAACGAGGACTGAAAGTCAAAGAAGTTCATAGAAGTTTTCTGCTTTGAAGTCGCATGGCTTGAAATGGGACTCAAAGCAGGTGAACAATTCATGGAGGGAAATTAAATCAAGGAATAAAAGGAGCTGAATAAGTGGAACAAGAAGAAAAAGAAGGGTTGGGGCAAAAAAAGAGGAGGTGAAATAAAAAGTCGTAGTTGGAAGGACACAAGGAATGGAGAAATGAAGGAGTGAGAAAAGATACAACGGACAAAAAGACGTTTTAGATGGAAAAATATTAGGAACGGGAAAGGAAAGGAAGAAACAAGAAGAGACAAAGGGTGAAAATAAAAAGAGATTGTTGAACGATGTAGGAGAAAGGGAGGGTAAAGGAAATGACTGAGACACAAACATAAACAGGAGACAAAGAGGAACAGATCGCTCAGGAAGTCATTTAAAGAAAGACTAAAGACTCATCAGAGAGCTCAAACAAGCTCAAACAGTAACAACAAATTGACCTCATGCCGAGGTCAGACTACACGGTCTGTAAATTGACCGACAGGCTTCTCGGTGGTACAGTACCAATCCTCACAACCAACGTGATGACGCTGGAAGGAAGAGGGGTTGGACTATAAGACACCTGGAAAGAAGACTGTAAACATAAAAAGACCTGTTGCTAACTGAGCTCTCCAAGCGTTCCTTCTTTTCCAGATGTGGCCTCATTATCGTTCACTTCGATTTTCAGGGCCGATGGGTCCCAAAACCCCACGATCTTCCAGATCAGTCTATAATTGTGCTTTGATTATGTAGTCTAGGCCTTGGCATTAACATACTGTCATCTTAAAACTCTTGAAATCAGCCCCTCAGTGGACTTCAGTGAGTTGTATAAGAGATGGATGCTTTGCCCACCTTTCATTCTGACTGGGCGGCTCTTTGGCCCACGTCGGCGTCACATCAGCAGCGAAGCCCACGTCGTCGTGGGAGCTGGACGATGATTGGTCAGACAGGTTGGGTGGGAGTAGGGGTGGCCCGTCATCTTCTATGATCACCGTGTCATCCTGCGGCATGTTGACGGTCGGTGACAGCTGATAGTTTCCTGGAGGAGACAAGACCAATTTTTTAGTTTCTCGTAGAAAGTCGAGAAATGTTTTTATTCAAAATCTAAGACTTCCTTTTTTTCCCTATAACGTCCTTGCTTGACTGCGTCACAGATGTGTACACTATCGCAGCATGAAGCATTGGAGACTGAAGCAGCATGTAAAACCATGTTTAATAAACCATTTTAAAATGAATCTCTCATTAAACGATCAGATGAGTGGCAGAAGCTTTAGCCTAAATCTTTACAGGAAGATTAACTTGATTGTGAAACCTTAAAGTTTTCTTTCCCCTCTACATTATGAGTCATTTACAGATTGAACAGTATTGTTAGCACAAGCCGGAGACTGTTTGTCTGATTGAGATCTTCATGAACATTGAACCCCTGTTTGGAAAACTTGTGACGCAATCCTCACCTGTAAATTACACAGTGTTAAATGATACATCCCACCTCAACATCAAGACGTCTTTGAAAGGATAAAAACAAGGGGAGGATAAGGGGTTGGTCTGATGAAAGAATGCTTGTGTTTTTGCAGATTCTGGGAGGATAATAAAAACACAAACACTCATGAAAGCTTCGAGAAAGCCGGTCCGTTACCCGGCTCCTTCAACAACACCCCGAGGAATTAATTTATTTGTGACAACTGGCAACTGCTGCATGGAGCTTAACACCGCAGTAACTGTTTAATGGGCCAACAACGGGTGGGGGGAGAAAAAAAGTTCACTACATCAGTAACAATAACTTTTTTTTTTGAAAACCAGAATACCATATTTTTTGAAGCCTAGAAAAAGACTGAAAACGGCTCCTGGCTAATCAGCTTATACCAAGTGAAGTTTGGCAGCAGGCACAATGCTGTTGCTATGTCAAAACACTATGATTAATTCAAGCTGTGCCCTCGCAAAGAAAGATAAAAAACACACCCCTGTTTTCAAGAAAAATATTAAATAGTCCCCTTTCTTTGCCTCTGAAAAGCAAGGCTTAAAAAACTCCCATTGATATGCAGCACATGACTTTGTCTCTAATCTTTATTTGGAAGTTGGGAGCAGGGTGGGGTGGGGGGGCTCATAGGCATTAAAAGAAGGGCAGCGCCGATGCTTCATAAAAGCCGTGTGTGCCGAGTTCAGGGAGGAGTTTGCTTGTCTTCAGAAAGCGTTGGGGGCTTTTATGGCAGAGACCTCCAGGACTGAGCCAGGCCTGCTGTTTGTTTCTCATAAAGAGAGCACAGAGGGGATCGACGTGCCGCTGGGTGCTGCTCGCAGCCAGCGTGGGTGATTGACCTGATGTAAAACGCAGCTGAATGGAGAGAGAGAAAAAGACGGACTGAGGTGGTGTGACAGTTTGAGGGTGTACGTGTGTGGAGAAGTCACAAGTCACTGTTCTTTGTTCGTTTTCATTGAATAATAGAAACCAGAAAGGACCTCTTGTTTGAATTAACTCATAAACGCACTTTAAAAAAATAATAATGTGGGCTTGTGCTATCGAGTGGATTATTGTGTTGATTTACTGTATATGTGAAAAAAACACACTAAATTCTTACTTCATACTTACAGTTCCCATGTTGGAGGATCACATTTTACTGTATGAGACCGTTTGGGATTCTGTGGGTCAAGGGCACGGGGTCATTTATAGGATTGTGTTTGTGATTCTGACCTCAACAGGAAGTGGGTAATGAGCTGCTGCCAGGGTGTTGGTGTGGATGAAAACGCTTGTGGCTGATGCTTTTATTGAGAGATAGGACAGAGGACAGAGTGGACAAAGTGGACAGAGGACAGAGTGGACAAAGTGGACAGAGTGGACATGGAGAGATGAGTGAAAGGAGCCACAGGTCGAATCTGAACCTGGGACCACAGCCTCTGCACAAAGGGGGTCGCCCACTAACCACTAGGCCACCTGCGTCCCCACCTGTACGTTTCTGAGGCTGTTAATGAGAACAAATCTGACGGGGGTTAAAAACCTATGCAAGGCACGTTATCTCCTAGCAACCAGAAAATAAAAGAAATGAATGTATATAGACTTTGTTAAGAGTATATCTGATTGACAAACCTCTGATCACAAATAACTGTAAGAAAATCAACTTTACAAGTATCAGGTATTAAGTAGTATTTATCTAAATGAGTGTTTACCCACACGTCGTCCACTACAAGTGTGTAATAGACTCCAAGTGTGTGACTCATGAGACCCTCACTGCATTAAGTAGATCTGTTTTAGCTAATGCCATTGTGCTTCTTCTTCAGTTTAATTATTCACTGCAAAGTTTGGTAGTCCGGGTGAGTCCTCTACCTCACCATGGCCACCTCTTTCTTTCAGACCACACACACACACACACACACACACACACACACACACACACGTTTTACACACACACGTGCACTCATAGAACCACTTAATCCCCATTTCCCTAAGCAGTCCGATGCGCGACACTGAGAATCCCATCAATGTCACAGTTTGAATCACTGCAGTACAATCAACTGGCAGCTACTGAGTAGAAAACCAATGAATCTGTCAACTCACTAGCCTGGTGAAAGGAGGAGGGAGGGGGGAGGTCTTTGTTTTAGTGCCAGCACCCGAGGGGGGGCAGCCATCCCGCCAGCAGGAATAGCACTACCATGGACGCCCGTCACCTGAGAATCAAACCAATAAAAACACACCATCGCTCGCGGTGGGCTGTAATAATGTCTGACTGAGCTGCAGCCCAACAATAGGTGGCATTTCATTAGAGACTCTCCACCAGAGACGCTTTTATTACTATTAGAAGCCTTTTGTGCAAAAGCTGCTGAATACACGAGGGCAAAAGGGGGAACACACAATTGCCAGGAGGAGGGAAGACGAAGATTTTTCTAGATGAAAATGCAGATAGCAAAGAGGTGAGCGAGCTGTGAAAGACATGCAGAGGAGTCCCCCCCCCCTCTCCCGCCCCCCTCTCTCGCACCCCCTGCTTTTCATTTTGTCTTCTCTGGGTCTTATTTGCATAATTAGTAAGGAGGTTATTGCCAGGGGGTGCTGGGCCTTAAAAGCTATTGGCCTGAAGGAATAATTAAGTCGCTCTCTTATCCCGGGCATCTCCACAGTGCACAAAGCCGGGTGACTGATCTAAGAGTGAGCAACGGGCCAACGCTGATATCTCCTGAATGGGAATGATGTTGTCTTCTAAGAAAGATTAATGCATGATTTATGTTTCGGTGGCATTCGTTATGATGAGGGAACAGAATTATTCCAAGCAACAGTCAAAATACACCCCACACCGGCAAGCACTCCCTCGCACACGTACACACACACACACACACACACACACACACGCACACACACACACCAAACACACATCTTTATTTATTCAAGGGAGCTTTGCTGAGCGTGCAAAGCTCTGCTTCCTTTTTCACACACGTTCACATCAGGGAGCTGCTGCCAAGTGCATCCAAAGTCGTCTACTGTCGGCTTCTGAGTAAGCCAAACTGCAAGCAGCTGAGAGCCATGTGTCTGCTTTCTCAGACTCCATAAAGAAGTCGTGAAGCACCTTTTTGTTTGTGAACATGTGGAAACAGTAAATTAACTTGTGCACTGAGGAATTTTGACTTAACCACACACAAGGAAAAAGTTACAGACCCTTCAATTTCTATATTTGTAGTCATCCTGATTGTTGAATTTGGCTACTGTGCAGGACATCTCTTGCATGTCTGCAGCTCTGTCAGCAGAAGGGTCTCTCCTCTCTTGGTCTCCCTGATGTTTCTTCCAATTTTCAAAAACAGCAAATAAAAGGAGCACACTCAACAATGATTAAAGTTCCAGGTGCACGACCGCAACAAGACTTAAAATGAGACAATAAAGTTTCCTTTATCTGGGCAAGAGCAGCGTACAAAACAACAACGGATGTGTTTCAGCACTACGCCTTCATCAGCTTTCCAATGTTCTAAGGTTTGTTTATTGAGTTCTTCTATATGCTAATCGAGGGGTTCCTGAAGCCTGATTTGGATCTGACTTGACTTTTTGGTTTCATGGGCTCTACAGGTGCCTAACAGACCAGGAGGGTTGTCAGTTCAAGTTCCAGTGTGAACCAAAGTATGGTGGTTTTGGACTGGTTTTGGGAGCGGTGCCAGTTCACTTCCTGAGCACTGCTTAGGGGGGCTGTTTAGCAATGCACGGAGTCTGTGCAGCCCCCTCACTCTGACATCTCTCCATTAGCGCACGTCCATAGGATCCTGTTTGTGCGTGTGTGTTTCTGGCCTGTGTGTGTGTGCAGCATGTGAAATAACAGAGTGAAGAAACTTAATTTCCCCTCAGGGATTAATAAAGTTTGTTTTCTATTTCACATGTGGGCAGTTAGATTTCTGATCAAATAAACTGACAAACTGGCTGTGGCCCTGGGAAGATCCCATTGAGGAGGCTTATGAGAGCAAGATTGTTAAACACCAGGAGGTGAGGCTGCCCGGCTCTCTGGGATTGCTGGGTTTGCTGGGTGCTCTATCTGTAAAGCTCTGGCAGGTCTTGGTGTACCATCACTAGAGCCACAGAGAAAGAGGGCGAGCCGGTGGATTGCTGCAGCTGGGAGGCAATCCTGGACTTGATCAACAACTAATGGGTCACCTGGGTAAAGGGGGTCTGATGTTGAAAGACCTGAAAACTCCAATGACCCCTGCAGGAACATCACTGATGATGCACCCCAGCTCACCCTAGAGATGGATCGTCCAACCACAAATTAATTAGTCAAATTTGCCACACTGCATTGTTAAGTGTAAGTTCATCCTATTAGAAGAAGCTTCATTTTTATATTTATAGTGGCATCTAGTCCTGCAGATAGTTTTACATAACACAGTCTTTGTTTTTGCTTTCTGTGCCTCGTAGAAAGACAATGAATATTTGTTTTTTGTATTTTTGGTTTTCACGACTTGGAAAAAAAATATTAATTTGAAAACAAATCCAGAGGAAACATGCTGTCGACAGCAGAGTCCAGCAGCTTAAACACTGAGCACGCTGCCCTATATCCCTCTGTGCTTAGCCCACAGAGGAAAAAATTAAACAACAGTTGCAATGAAACCTTAATCCTTCCCTTATTTCTCCAATCTCATTTTCGAAACAGACCTCAGTGAGCTATCCCCCCCCGCCAAAAAAAGCGACGTGCTGCTTTGATGTGTGGAGGTCAAGCTGGAGCACATACGTCTGTTTTTTTCTCCCAACTTCATTTAAACTGAGTCGGAAAACAAGTTGAGGATCTGAAATGTTTTCCAGAACCACATGGGTTTAAAATAAATCTTTAGGTGATATGGAAAAAAAAACCTCTGCAGACTTGATTAAGTGTTTAATAAGCAGGAAAATGTCTGATGTGTCTTTGATAGTTTTTGGATTTCACAGTAGACATACAGCCTCAGAGGTTTCTAGCTGTCTTGCTGATGTCTGCTCAGGAATTTGAACAAATAAGCATTTCTAACCTCCCTGACTTTTTTTAGTGTATCTGCTTAACCCCGCCAATCTGAAGGAAGAAAACAAAAACACAGAGACAGGGGATCAGGGAGCAGCAGCAGGAGTCAGATGTGTGTTTTTTTAATCCTCTGGGGATGAAGGTCGCATGTCACTAAGCACTATGACAGCACAGGTCATTGAAGGTGAGCGCCGTCATCTTTTTGTTTAATCCTTCCTGTTTGGGCGAGCTCCACATTTTGAACAACACTTCATTTATTTAAGGAAAGACCCGGATCACAGGGACAAACTCAAATATACTTTTACATGTGATGTTTCAGCCTCATGTTCTGACGTCTCCTTTAAAGTTTGTACAAACTTAATTTACACCGATCAACACTTTCGATGATGCCCAGCTAAAGCACGGCCCTGTACACTGAGCTGTCAGCGTGTTGGACTGATAGATTTAAGTTTTGAAAGCTGCTGGAGCTTCTCCATATCTGCCTCGTGGTTTCACCTCAGACCCTGTTTGTTCATTTATTAACCCTCACTGTTTGTGAAGCATGGATGAACACAGCCAATGTGACAGTCTCCTGCATCTTCTCCTGTTAACACTTCCTCTGACACTCTGTTCTCGCTTTGTTTTTGTCGAGGCGAACAGGAAACCGTGTTATTGGGAGTTCACACAGGCACGGCATTGATTAATGAGGCAAAGTTGGTAGAAACTAGTTTAATAATAATAATAATAATAATACATTTTATTTAAAGGCGCCTTTCAAAGCTCTCAAGGTCACCTTACAGAGCAGAGATAAAAAACAACAAAGTAACAACACAACGATAGAATTAACATTAAAAACACAAATGTACAGGATGTAAAGGAGTTATGAGAACGGGTGGAGAATGATCAGACTGAATATGCCAGTTTAAAAAGATGTGTTTTGAGATGAGATTTGAAAATGGAGAGAGTGTCGATATTACGGATTTGTGGTGGGAGGGAGTTCCAGAGGTGGGGGCAGAGCGGCTGAAGGCCCTGGACCCCATGGTGGACAGGCGGGCGGGTGGTGCAGTGAGTTGAATGGAAGAAGAAGACCTGAGAGTGCGGGTAGGTGTGTTGATGTGCAGGAGTTCAGAGATGTAAAGCGGAGCGAGGTTGTGGATGGCCTTGAAGGTGAGGAGCAGATTTTGAAGGTGATGCGATGTTTAACCGGGAGCCAATGAAGCTGCTGTAGGACAGGGTGATGTGTTTAAAAAATAAATCAAAAGTTTGTTTGAGGATTCTTCTTTTGATTAGATGACGAACAGTTTGGATTTTTTCCCCCTGTTTTTAAAGTTTGACATTCAGGACATTGACATTCAGGAAAGCAGCCACAGGTCAGATTCAAACCCGGGCCGTCTGTTTGGAAGACTCCAGCCTCCGCACATGGGGTGCATGCACTAACCACTAGTCAACAGTGCACTCTTCTTCCCCTCTCAGTATTAACACAAGCTGACTGTGCAGTCTTACCATCTGCTCCACAGATTCATTCTGCTCTTATCAATCATTCAAATGCTCTGCAATACACATGCATGCAGAGTCCTCACACTCATCTGCAGTTATATCTTTCATATCATTCACTGAAGTCATCCAATACAGAGACTGATGATGTTTGGCAACACACACACACACACACACACACACACACACACACACACACACACACACACACACACACACACACACACAGACACATTTCCATTTCAAAATGAAAATCAATCTCTTGTCTGACGTCTGTAGAAAAAAAAGAAAGACGAAAACGTCCAGAGGCTGTTCTTCCATCTTTCTTTTTCTGTCTGACATTTTCAAGACATTAAAAGCCGCTGTGTTTTGACAGCAACGGAGACTAGACGACGCAATACGCTTGTGCTGTACGGTGACAAAACCTGGCACTTTGGATGGAAGAATCAACCAGGAAAAAACACACTAACAGAATAGAATATGTTAAAAAGGACAGTTTTTCAGCTTTTCAAAGTGCATGACTTAAAACTTGATGTAATACTGATTCCATGTCCCATTGTAACCCGATCCCAGTCTTAGCAGAGGAACAAAGGACGTCATAAGACTGATATCCACCAAAGAATTCACTCAAACCTCAACCAGAGGTGGAGCACTAAACCAGTTAGACATCGTAGGACTACAACCAAAAGAAAGGGGAGTCAATCGTACCTATTGTGCGTGGAATCATGCCTGGCCGTGGCATCAAGTTGTCATCGAGTCCCTCCAGGCCACCGTACAAGGAGTGGGAGATTCTGCGCTCGTGGTCGTCCAGGGTGGTGTTCATCATCTGCTGAGGTCCCAGCGGGCTCCCTGGTGCGTCCTGGAGGATGGAGGAGGTGATATTTAAAATGTGATTGGATTTACCCAATCGGTTTCTCTCATTGTCTCGGGAACAGCATTTTTATGTCAGTGCACTGCGTGGTTTATTCTCTCTTAGAGGGCTGTCCTGACATCATTTTCAACTTTAATGCCATACTAGGAAAAAACAAACAATATGTATACCGCTTTCATTACCACGGCAACAAGAATAGAAGATTGTAAAAATCCTCTTGCTGATGAGTATCAATAAGTGGAAGCAAACTCCTGCACACTTTCTAAACAGCACAAATACATTTGCAATCTTTTTCGGTTCTGAAGCGTTGCCACGATTGTGTGTAATGAAGACAGGGTCACCTCCTCTTCCGTCTGACTGTTTGTGAGCAACATCAATATACGTTATGCATTTTTAAAATGGGGCCAACAGGACTGGTGAACTGCAGGATTTTCCAACCTGTGTATTGGACAGGTCGGCAAATACTGGCGCTGCTCTCTCTCTTCTGCTTGCAGCAACTTTGAGTTAAAATGCAACTAAAGATCTACATTTTATTTTTTAAGTTTTTGGTACTTTTTGATTCTAGTGATCCATAAAATATAAAAAAAATCTATCGTTTTTTAAACACATTGTAATCAAAAAGCATGAAAGCATTGGAAATTCTGAGACCTTTACTCTCTAATATGCCAAAAACTCTTGTAAGAGTTAAGAAAGTCAAAAAAAACAACAAAAAACGAGCTCAATAATGTTCTTTATACAAAGGCTTAATATTCATATCATCACATATCATATCAAAGACAAAGAATGTGCCAGAGGGGGATAAGCCATGCAAACATTAACTGCAGAGTAATGGATGGACAAAAGGGCAGCTATCAATGCTAATGCTAGCAGTGTGATAACCAGGATGCATGAGCATAGATTTCCAATAGGCTGTTAAGCCACAGACTGTTAGCCCCACAGGGGACAGTTAGCTGACTAGCATCTTGACATTTCCCTCAAGACCTGCGATGACACTCTCTCGCTCGCTGGACAAATAGACCATTTGCCGGCCCTGTCACCCGTAAACACACACACACACACACATCCACGGTACGAGACACTGTGTGTAGGCAGGAGTGTGTGTTTTCACCCTTCATTGTTTATCCATTGGATAGCTGACCCTATTGATCTGCCATGGCTTCTGCATTCATTGCTGAAGGTGTTGACAGCTCGTGCCATGAAGATAACCGCCGTCGCCCTGCATCACTTAACAGAGGATAACAGCATCACACTCCACTTCATACTGGAGCTGAATTACCCCCAATCGATAGATACAACTAGCCAGGCTGGGGTTCGATTTTTGACAAGAAGGTCTTTGCCCAATCATCCTTTGAGTTCACTAAATGCTTGAAGTCCTCTAATAAACACTGCTGTATGGATTTTGATGTAAACAAACCGGTCAAGTTTACAGGAGAACATATGTGTGGGTACATCAGGAGGCTGGCAGTCAGACGTGTAAATAGGGATACGGTGGTTTTCAGACTTCAGAAACCTGCTCGTTTAGATACAGCAAATGTAAAAGTTTCAGCGTCCTGCTCAAGCAAAAATTAGCTCCCCAAAAAACTGTAGGAGGTTAATAACTTGAAGTCCTTAATCCTGAGTAAAAGTTGAAACAACAATATATCCAAAGTTTAAAATAATTGAAAGATAAAAGTGGTGGAAAAGTTGTTCCAAAAAAGAGAAGTTAGAACACAGAAAGGTTTAGAGACCGATGCAGATTTGGCTAAACACTGAAGCTTCAGTGTCCGCCACACGGCAGCCTGCGTGAGCATCGACTCTAGAGAGGAGGGGACCACAGTACCCATTCCAAACACCAGGTGTCAGGGCCACATGTCGCTACTTTGAATATGCAACTATAGTCTCAGTTTATAACATCTCTGATGGACCCCTGAAGTATGTTCCCATATCTGATGTGATATTTGTATCCTATCTGATAAGTGTAGCAGACATGACTTTGCCTCAGGTATTACACACCAGACCTGTTTTATTTTGAAGAGGAGAGAGTCCAAGACCCAAGACCAAGGGTCTGATTCATGGACCTAACAAACCCTGTTGATTCAGTTCAAACTAAACTAATCTACTTCTACTGCTGGAAATGTTTATTATGTGAGATACAAAATACTCCACGCCACTTTGGTCAACTCTGTTGTTTTTAAATGTGCTCTATAAATAAAGTTGGGTTGGATTGGATTTTTAGTGCACAACGTTTACATTTATCGTATTAATCTATTTTCTCTTTTCTTTCATTCTGCGAGATGAGATTCTGTAAAGCCTGCAGTATATCACATACGGTACGCTTAACAGTACTCAACCTTACTCTCACTCATGTAAAGTCAGCTGAGTCAGCCGAATTGTCATGAAAATGTCACATACAGCGCTCGTGTTTCTCTGGTAACCAATCACAGGTCAGCTTAGATCCACTCGGTTATTACACATCATAGTGAACAGACGAGGGAGAAGCAGGAATAACGAAGAGTCAGACTTAAATTGACTATAATTGACACGCAGCAAAACATACATGAGTTGTTTGTCAGGACTCGATTCTGAGGTTTCCCAGGGACCGATGAAGACCTCTAATGTGGAGCTTGTTTAACTCCATGTACTGTTACGTCTGTTAATGTGGCCTGTAGTGCTGTGCCTTCATTTAGAGGATGATCAAACCGTAGAGGCCTCCAGGGTAATTATTCTTATCGCTGGTGGTACATCGGGGGATGATAGGATGTCACGAGTTCAATCATGTAGCTGGAGAGTTGTGTGCTGGAGGAGCATGAAGTCAGTGTTTCATTAACTCTGATCAAGACCCTCAAGGCTTTTATAGATTTGAAATGCAATTAGCAAATCATTGAAATATATAAGTATGGTTCAGTATCTAAAAAAGTATCCTCAAGTACCGGAAGGCCCTGAAGTAAATGTACTTAGTTACCTGCTCTTGAGCAAGGCACTCGCTTCAAACAGAGTCAATAATATAAAAAATAACAAACATTTTAGTAAAAATGAATTACAGGTGATGGCACCTTTAAGAAAATGGCACCTTTAAGCTAAAGAGCCAGCTCTTTCATGAATACCTACTAACTTAATGATGATGGTCTCCATATTATTGATGATGATGATGGTTGTGACGATGGTTTTTGTTTGATAACGGTGACTTATAAGATGGTTTCTATACTGATTAGAGCTCTCAAGAACTGGCCTCAATGTTGTGCTTTGCCTCTGGTCACTTCCTGTCAGCACCTGTGTGTCCAATCAGACTCAAAGCTGATCGTTTGCTCTTACTGACATTGTTCCCTTTTTTCTAGATCCTTGCTTGTGTTGTTCTTACTCTCTGATGTACGTCACTTTGGATAAAAGCATCTGCTAACTGAATTGTAGAGTTGTAGGCGATGAAAACAACTGGGGGGAAAATAAAAAGAATACCAGCGCACAGAGCCAATCAAACATACACACAGATACAACGAGTCGTCCACGGGAACAAACTCATTTGTGAGGTCGCCATATGGCGCTGTGACTGCCGCCGTGCGTCTGCTGCTCCTGACTTGAAATGAGGAAAGGTAATGAATCGGCCGGCTGAAGGTTGGTCGAGGTGAAAAGGTTCAGTGGCTAGCCGCCGAGGGGATTCTGGCATACTGACTCCGACATATCACGCCGCAGCTCATTGCATATTCAGACGGATAATATGAGCCTCGGGAAAGGTCTCGATCCCCATCGGAGCGCCCGGCGGTGATGAGGAAGTCAGCTGCTCGGGGGGTTCGCTGTGTGTGGAACCTGAGCGTTTGGGTTTGTGATTTATGCAAGGGCAAACATTTTGAGATTGATTTTTGATTGGCTGTCGAGGGATGGAGACACAGGAAGGGAATGTAAATACAGGATTATTTGATCCCATATGTCAGTGAGCGACATGTCAAAAAGAGCCACAGCTTTCATTCTATAGTAAAGCGGTATGATTTTAGATGAGTTTAATGGAGGGTTTGTTTTTAGGTTCAGAGCGTCTATCAGGGATTCTGCAGCATCTCTGAGCAGTGTCTCTGAGTATGAGTGTATTGAATTGTTGTTTTCCTCCTCTCTGAGTGGCTTGGACACTTTTCTTATAAATGGCCAGGCAACTTGGAGCGCCTCAGGCCATGCCTCCAGCTCTGCATGTGAAGCAGAGATCGACGAGGCGCCCGGTGCTCGAGTTCTGTTCATCCAGCGGGGCTGTCCGCAGAGTCTGACTGCTCTGACACACACACACACACACACACACACACTATCGGAGTGAAAATCAACACACAGAAAGAGCCTTGAAATAAAATAAATGCATACATGCATAAGCAGGATGCACAACTTACACACTCACACTCAGACAGAGAGAGATGTGCATGTACACACGCAGAGACACACCAACACACCTCCAGGCTTAGCCTCTGCTTTCAATTACCAGACGGGGCCGAGGGGAAATCAAAACTTTGACACACCAGGTTGGAAAAAGGAGAGCAGGGAAGCCAGGCGGTGCCAGAGGCGTAGACGTGCACACACACACACACACACACACACACACGTGAACGCTCACAGCAGCAGTAACACACAGACTCAGCCGCGGCTTTCAAGCAGGCGACAGGCAGACGTGTACTGAGAATGTAAAAACATGACATTGAGGGGAAGGGAGAAAAAAAAAAAGTTGTGTAGCTCCGTTCACAGCCAGGTATTCTTTTTTTTTTCTTCCTCCAGCTGCCTCAAGAGAGAGGTGAGCCTGCGTGGGAGGAGGATGGTGAACTGCTGTGACCTGACTACTACCTTTTATTTCATGAAATCATCTCTAGCTGCTCATGAGGGAGTTTCTCAGAGGTTTTGCTTTGGGTTGTGTTTCAAGCTGATATCATAAAGGGTCTTATTGAAGTGTGGATGTCTGGGCAAATGTCTTTATTCAGGAAAGAAGTGTCAGGCAGTGTCATACCGTATGTAGGGAGTGATAAATGGTAAATGGACTTGAGGTTGTTTGACTCCTTTCTAGTCTTCTGACTACTCAAAGTGTTTTTTACACCGCAGGTCTCACCTACACATTCACACACTGATGGTAGAGGCTGCTGAGTAAAGAGACCATCAGAAGTAACTAATCCATTAATACACATTCACACACCATCAACAAAGCAGTTGGAGCAACTTTGGGTTAACTGTCTCGCCCAAGGACACATCGGACAAGAACTGCAGGAGCTGGGGATTGAACCCCCGACCTTCTGGTTGAGGGACGACCGACTCCACCAAAGCCACCTCTATGAGTTTGTTATTCCAGATAAAGTCCGGGTAGAATTTAATATACAGATTTAAAAAAGCAAAAGGCACATTTCCTGTTGGGTCATAAGAGTTTAGTTCATGCTTTTTTTATATAATTTATATATACATATGTTTTTTTGGGACATTTTTGCCTTTATTGGAAAGGACAGCTGAAGAGAGAGAGAGAGAGAAAATATTAAGAGTAGAGAGTCGGGGGTGACATGCAGCAAAGGGCAGAGGTCAAATTCAAACCCACGGCCACTGCAACGAGTGCTGCCACCTCCATACAGAGGGTGTGCATGCAACAGAATTGCTTAGATGATCAACTCCCCATCTTGTACTTTTTTGCTGCCCTTGACATGATACATATGCCTTTAGAAAAAAGTGTACCTCAAGGTGTAACCACTGTCGGGTCCACGATCGAGCCATGTTGCTCTGATAACCACGGAGATCAAATCTTACTACTTGCAATATGTGTGTCCAGTTTGATGAATTTTTGCTCTCAAATTGAACTAATACTCTGCAAACAATTGAGTCAAAATATTACATCACATTACATGTCCCCGACGCACAAGCCCGGCAGATTGAAAAAAAAAAAGGAAAAATTCTAAATCCAAACTGTCATCAGGAACAGACTCTGAAAATCAGCACGTAAAGAAATATCTGAGCAGTAAACTGTGAATGAAAGCACTCCCCCATTTACTCCATCACAAATGTTGACATGTCCTTGTGCAGGGTGTTAAACCCCTCCCTTCCTCCAGTTTTTTTCCCACAGTAATTGCTCGGGGGTCAGTGGTCAACACTACAGAACCAGCGCTGTAATGTGTGCAGCTCTGAGGTGTGAACATGTGAAGCTCGAGTGTGAAGCAGGGCTGCAGCTGCTGTGAAAGGTTACATGTGCTCGGCCGGGGTAAATCAAACAATTAATCATGAATCTCTTCCAGTATGACGTCTTTTCAAAAGAACCATGTCGCTTCCGTTCAACGCATTCCAACACCGCGTCTCATTCTCTCGTCACAGAGCGACCACAAACAAATAAATAAATGGGAACAAAATGTCTCAGAGCTAGAGGCCTGTCGCCCTCCAAAGCCCGTCTTTAACATCGCTCCTCACCTCGTTTCTCTTGGCCACTCTCCGGGCCACGATGAGCTGGATCATCCCCCGCTTGTTGCCTTCCGTCGACATGGACTTGCGCAGCGTCTCCATGGCGTCCTGGTTGGTCTTTCCCAACAACGACTCCCCGTTGACAGCAATCAACTGGTCGTTCACTCGAAGTCGACCGTCCTGATGATGTTGGACGAGATAGAAAACGTTTAAAAGTGTTTAAAAAAAAAAAAACTGCTCACAGCACATGCTGCGTGATGAGAAAGCAAGTTGACAATTACCATTATCTCATCAGACTAAGAGCGGCGCTCGCTGAGTGTATCCTGTTTGATCTTTATCTCATCCACAGAGAAGTGTGCTTTTAAGTCCATTATTATGTTCTGTCAACACAAGCCTGTGTGAAAAGCAATCAAGCTAAAAGACTGCTGAAAGTGACAGCAGACAGAAAACAGAGAACATGGCGCTTTGTGTTCACTGAGTTTATCAATGATTGAACATCTCGTCATAGCAGCTCAGGAACACAGAAAAACGTGGCGCTCACATCTCTCCGCTAAGGGCTTCTGAGTGATTGTAAGATAGAAAAGAAGAAGATGTTTGCTGCATGAGATCTTCCTTTTATCTTGTCACTTTACAACAGATCGTCAGCAGATATCAGAGAGTTATATTTGAAGCCTTTTGTGATCGTCTAAGTTTGTTCCTCTTGGCATGTTTAGGGTTTGGAGTTTATTTTGCACATGGACGATCAGTAGCTCATTATGAAGGGAGGCATATCAGATATATATGTTGACATTAGCATCCTTTACAGTACATTATGATAGTGCATATGACGTTATATTATATTACAAATGGAATTAAACAGAAGTTAAAAAAGCAGCTTTTTGTTGAATTGATCAACCGGGCAGAGATACCTCCCTTCAAACCCTCTAGTCTTAGATCCTCAGGTGGGGGCCTCCTGGTCAATCCAAAGTCGAGACTTAAAACTAAAGGTGACCGGCCTTTTCAGTCAGGGCCCCTCGACTTTGGAACGACCTCCCTGACGAGATAAGACTTGCAGATTCCTCAATTCTTTTAAATCCCTTCTTAAAACGTACTTTTACAGACTTGCTTTTATGTGATGTCATCTTCTTATAATGTCTTTTCTTACTGGTTTTACTATTTTTATCTTATCTTACTTCTTACTGTTCTTTTATTTATGCTCATATCTTAACTCCTCTTATGTTTTAACTTGGTAATTTCTTATCTTACTTACTTAATCTATTTATGTTTTATATTTATATTACTTTTTATTATTATTAATATTATAGTTTTTATTTATCCTTTAACCACTTGTTTCTATTTCTTTTCCTGCTCTTACCTTCTTATTGCTGTTATCTTTTGATTTACTTTTAGCTCTTTTAGTTTCTTACATCTTTTTAAGTCTTTGCTCCTCTTGGTCTCAGCTCGTGTTGTTGGGTTCTTATGATGGTTCTTATGATGGTTCTTTGTGATGGTCGGGTTATATATGTCTGTTGTGTATCGTGCACTTTGGGTTCTTTTCTGTTGAATTGTATTTAATTATTTTTAGTATTTTGCATTTGTTATGTTCTTGCTGTTGTTTCTGTTCTTCTGTGTTTGCTTTAGTTTGCTTTGTTCTTGTTTGTCAAAGCACTTTGTAAACCTGTGTTTTTAAAAGGTGCTATAGAAATAGAGTTATTATTATCATTATTATCCACTTAAGAGCAGGATGTATCGTACTTTGCAGGCGGCTCCTCCGTTAATGATGGATTTGACAAAGATGCCCAGGTCGGCGTGGTTCTCCTTGGAGCGGTTGCCCTTGACGCTGACGCCCAACCCGGCCGACCCCGAGTCACTGAGGGGGATCTCGAAGGTCAGGAACTCTCTGGTCCCGTCTGGAGTCAGGACCAAGTCGTCCTCCTCCGACTTCTGTGAGAGGATGAAACAAAGAAAAGAGAAGAGAGACAGACATTTAGATTCTGAGAAATACCTCGAACAGATTCAGATTAAATCCTAAAACCCAAACAGGAAGAGCAAAAATAACACAACGCATATTTAATCAGACAAATCACAAATATTGATGCTTTTATTCCAGCCCAAAGTAATAACATTAAGCCCCTTTAATTCCTGCTCTGAGGGTCGTCCGCATGGCCGGAGTTAAAAGGACATTCATTTAGCCACTTGAGGTTAATGAAAAGTACTTTTGCATATAAATTGCAGCTGGGGCAGACAGCACGGAGGTAAATCAGAGTGCAAGCTCATTAGCTAGCATCAGATATATTAGTGTTAAACAGAAGAGCGCTGCTAAGTGTTCAATCAGGTACTTAGTATACACAGGTGGGGACTTATCTCCCACAATCAAGACACAACGCTCGGGTTTATCAATGCCAAAGGGTCTTTAAGGCTTTTTAGAAAGTATAACAAACTAATTATAGAAGGATTTTTATCAGAATCAGGACTAATGGGGGCTAAAGTGAGTCAGATTTAGGGCGATTCAGTAGCAGTCAAAGTCAGAGAAGGTTCAAGAGAAAGATTGTTAAGTTCATGTTGGTTTCATTTACATCTGTAACCCCTCCTCTACGAAACAAATACTGCAGATACTTTTAGATTTGTGTTTAAAGTGTAGCATGACGCTAGTTTCTACAGGACGCATGCATTTCGTAGCATCCTGTACCAACCTGCACATGCCAGTTTTAATACAAACTTTTAACAAAAAAAGGTTTTAATGTTAATGTTAAGCTACATTCTAGTACTGTATAACAGCAAAAAAAAGAATAATGTGAGGAAGACCGTTTTTCTCATTTGAGTGTCAAGAAAAAATCTAAAAGTTTGAGAATAAAATGAACACTCTGTTCTGAAAATGTTTTAATACTTTTTTTAAAGAAACATTTCACTTCCTGACCTCAGGACTCGGATTCAAAGAAATAAAAGAAAGAAATAGAATGAAATCTTTTTCCTCTATTTCCTTTTTTTGGTACGACGGAAACACATTAAACCGCAGTAGGATAAACCCACCACCAGGGGGCTCTCAATCAAAACAATAACAAAAGATGATGTTGAGTCTGGAGGGGGGAATCATGGGAGTGATTCTCTCTGTTACTTCGACCCTACGCCCGATGAAAACAATGCCACGTTCACCGTAATCAAGACGAACCGGCGAAACCGACCTGAGGAAGAGAATATGTTTACCGACGAGCTGATGTATCCGAGTAGAATTTACATGATGTATTTATCACAGCAGCTCATACAGCGACAGTATGGCAGCTTTCAGCAGCAGCTCTCATTATGTAGCGGTCTATGACGTAACATCCGGTGTTTCTATGGCAACAATAAACATGTTGTGTGTCTGTTAATTATTTTAGTGTAAAAATTCGACATATCGTATCTTTAAAAGTCCAACGTTAGAGTGGATAATTAAAATTTAGATTCTAAAATTAAACTTTATTCTGAACATTTTGACCTCATCAAAGTTTTTGTCACCAAAAATTGAAGTTTCACTTTAATCTCGATTTAGTCCAATGTTCAAATTTGTCCAAATTTCTAGGCGTAAACGGACTTGGGGGGGCCTACTGGTTAGTGCGTGCGCCCCATGTACAGAGGCTAAAATCTTCAAGAGGGGGGCGGCCCAGGTTCGAATCCCACCTGTGGCTCCTTTTTTTCGCACGTCATTCCCACTATGCACTGTCCATTCTCTAAAAATAAAGGCAGAAAAAGCCCTAAAAATAAACATGAAAAAAAGTCTGTACACTTAAAGGACTCAGATGAACATCAGAGAACTGATTCAACCCGCCATGCAGCTGCTTCATGATGCAGAGTGCGTCAAACTGGCAGAAAAACTTCCCAGTAAGCCGACATGAACACAGCAGCCTAATTGACATGCTGAGTGCTCTCTCTTTCTCTCCTCTCCTCCACAACAGGTGCTCTCTCTCTCTCTCTCTCTCTCTCTCTCTCTCTCTCTCTCTCCCTCCCTCTCTCTCTCTCTTCCAGCTCAACAATAAAAAGCTGTTCTCTCTTGCTTGTTATTTGACAGCTGTCCTCTGAATAGATGGGTGCGTGCACGCTCACGCCTGGCAATTATTGTGCACGCCTAATGAATTCAATCATGGGGCTCGGTGTCAGCATGTCATTAGCTCCCTTTGTTTGCTCGCAGAGAGATGGGATTGCTCTGGGTTTGGAAAAGCGAGGGAGGGAGAGTCGGAGCAGGGAAGGAGGGGGGGATGCAGGAGAGAGGAGGAGAAGGACATAAGGAGGAGGTATGGAAGAGGAAAGGAAATGGGGACCGAGGAAGGAAGGAAGAAGGGAAGGAAGAGCATTACTTTAGTCTCTGCATGTTTTAGAAAGACAAAAGAAAAGCCACCGGTAATTAATTTACGACCTTAAAAAAAGCCATTTCTATTTTATTAGACACATTTCATGAGAAGTGCTACAGAGTAATAGCTCACTAGACCAAAGGAATTGAATAACTTTGGAACCTAAAATCCAATTTATTAAGCCTGGAATTAAATCAGAGGCTAACTCGTGAAGACTTAATCAACACAGTCCTCTTGAACAGCCGACGGTCAGAGTCAGAAATGAGAAAACAGGAAGTGTCATTCTAGGAGTCCCAAACTGAAACGGATCAGCGATGCAGAGAACAGTACAGGAACATGAAGGCTGGCTCTGATTTAATGTGTTACATTAACGCACACTGGACTTTAATATTTTCTGTTTACATGCACACTGAGGAGTTTTTTTTCTGGAGGATATTTTCACTGTACATCCTGCACAAAGTACCTGCACATCTGCACAGCTCCTTCTGTACATTTTGTGTGTTGAGCTCTGATGTTTTATAGCTTCTTACTTTTTTTTTTTTTGCTTCAGTGCTTTGCCATTTGATTCACACTAAAAAAAACACCAAACATCTGTGTTTCCAGGTCAAGGTTCAAATCTCCATGGTTACATTGCTAAAACGTTACAGAGCCGCCCTCTATCATATCGTTCTCTCTTTTCTCTACACGTCATTAAGACGGTTTCTCCTGAGGTTCCAGTCATGTTATTCTAGTTATTCTAATAATGCTTCAGGTACTGATGGCTGTTTTCCTGCTGGAGTTGTGTAGCTTTTAAAAAAAAATGGTCGATTGAAGAGTTTTCAGAGGAAGCTAAAAAAGAGTGAGATAAATAAAACAGGCGGAGGAAACTGTAAGGAAGACGAGGTGAACAAAGGTGAGGAGAGGGAGAGGAGTGATGGGCTCAAGAGGAGGGGGAAAGAAAGAGCGAGGGGTGAAAAGGCGTGGAAGAAAAGTGAGAGTGTGCGAGCATGACAATGACAGAGCGAGCGGGCGAGGGAGCGAGGGAGTGTGAATGAAAAGGCGGACAGAAAGGGAAGAATCCATGTGGAACACAAAGGGAGACAGACACACTGCCACCTCTCTCACTGTTCGTCCACCTCTCTCTCTCTCTCTCTCTTTCTCCTGTCTCTTTATATCGCTCCCTCCTTTCTGTCACTCCTCCCGCTGCTCATTTTCCTTTTTATTTCTGCGCCGCCTGTCCTCTCTAACCCTCATTTTGTCTCTTTACCTTTCACAAACCCTCCATTTCCTCCTCTTCATTTCTCTTTCTGTCATCCCAGATTTACGAGAGAAGAAGCACGACTGTTCTGAAGCAGCTCAACCTGAGGAGCCGCTGTTGTTTTTGGAACAAAGCCTTGTGTTTGAAATTAGTTTTCGGTTTTTTTTATCAAATGGGGTTAAAATGACAGCTTCGCACTCTGAAGCGGCTGAGGTAAACAGCTTTTTGAAAAAAGCTAAAAAGCCTTCCAGGTGACATTAAGATGACAACTTTGTGATTTTTTTCAGGGCTGCACGGAGGAAATACCCATTATCTGAGGAACAAGTGGCATCTATAAACCCCAGATTCAATTATTATTCTCAGCTTGTTTGGTTTTCTAACAAGAGAAAAAGAAACAGTAAGTGTGTTTGAATGACTGAATCGTAGCTTTGTCTGTTTGAAAACAGAGAATAGGCAATCACAGAGAGTGTGTGTGTGTGTGTGTGTGTGTGTGTGTGTGTGTGTAAGAGGTTTCTTGTCTTTGCTACTCGAGAGCAGATGTTCTCTGCAGAGTTCAGTTTTGTAGTTTATAAATATAAAGAAGACAAAGAAGAAGTCATGTTGCACTCTCCTGTCATCCTGAGGGGAGCATGGTGAGGGAGATAAGGCTGTGTCATTAGCCAATCAGGTGACAGATATGAATCATGATGGGACAGTTTGATATTCAATAATATATTGTAATCATTTTAACAAGTTAAGCATGGTGGTGTTACCCTCTTTATGACTGAATGTTCTTTAGGATTTCTAGTGGGGTGTGAATCAAACAAAGCACAAAATGAAGTGCTGACTGGATATTTGTTGGAAAAACGATGATTAAAAAAATCTGTATCGTTGAGAATCAAAAGTGTTAAAAAGTAATTACATCATAATATTCAAGTGTATTGGTATTTTCTTCTATCGTATACATATATCATTATATTGCAATTTTCTTGGAGTAGAGGTGTCTGTGAAATTACTTTGTATTGGGGGCGCTAATAGCCTAGCGGTTGCGACGCATGCACCATGTACAGAGGCTATAGTCCTCAGTGAAGCGGCCGCGGGTTCGAATCCGACCTCGGCCCTTTGCGGCATGTCATCCTCCCCTCACTCTCTACTCCCAACATTTCCTGTCTTTCTTCAGCTGTTCTATCTCATAAAGGCAAAAAGGCCCAAAAAATATCTTAGAAAAAATTAAATTACTTATATTTCTTTAGTATTTGGGGCGCCAGCTGCCTAGTGGTTATGTCACGCCTCATGTAAAGAGGCTGTAGTCCTTCATGCCGGCATGCAGCACAGGTGAAAGTCGGATTGCAGCCCCCCTCTGGATTTCCTACTCTAACCACTTTCCTCTCAAATAAAGGCTAAAAGCTCAAAAAATGAATTTTAGAAAAAAAAATAAAAAAATGTCAATATGATTTTAATGTTGTATCTGCACCACATCTCCAATTTCCAAATCTGTTTATGTTGAGCTGATAATGACAATAAAGGCCTTGTCTTCCTGAATAGCAATTAGAATTTGTTTAACAAACATTTTAGCAAATAAAAGCACATTTGCTTGTATCAGTAAAAAAAACAAACAAAAAAAAAAACAGGGTGCTCTCTCTTCTCTTTCCCTCCACTGAACTTCTCCCACAAAGCACATCTAAAGCTCGTACCCTCAGAGCCCTCCTCACCCTCCTCTGTATTCCACAGAGTGACTCAATATTTAGCATATGAGAGAATTCAAAGTCGTCCCTTTTTTTCCCCACTTGATTCCACTTCTCACTTCCACACTTCTCTCCAGCTGCCGGTGCCTGACACGATTAACAAGTCGGCGGAGAGAGAGCTCAACTTTGGACCGGAACAAACCTGTCGCTGTGATGCCGGTTAAAGAAAGTTGCGAAAGGTGGTGAAAAAAAAGGAAGAAAGAGAGGGTGCTGGAGAAGGAGAAGGAGAAGGAGGGGGGGTGAGAAGGAGGCAGTGAAGGGTGTAATTGGTCGAGGGAAGTCAGGCATGGAGAGCATTGTTGGCTGCCTACTGTAGCACAAATCTCTTTTTATTCATACTCCAACTCTCTATCTCTACTTTACCTCCCTCACTTTCTATCGCTACATTTATCATCCACATTTTCGCACCCTTTTCCTCCCTCTCCATCCCTCTTTTTCCTCTCCCCTTTAAAATTGACACTACATTTCCAAAAAAGTGTGTGAACACACCTGCGAGCACACTTCTCTCCTTTCATGCTTCAACCCTTTGTTCAAATAGAAAAAAGGAAAATCTCAACGCTCTCTTCCCTCTTCTTCATCAATCTGCCATTCTCTACAACCTCTTTTCTGCTCTCCTGCCTCTTGGTTCCACTTCTTTTCAGAACTCCAATTTTCCCTCTCTCTCTCTTACCCCTCACTCGTCTACCCCCTCCTCGCCTTTGCTCTCTCTCTCTCTCTCTCTCTCGCTCTACTCTCACTCTTTTTTTTTTCTGAAGCTTCACGCTGGAGCTCCATGCTGATAGACCATGAATATCAAATACCTGTGCGATCGACGGAGCCGGGCCTGGCACAGCATGGAGGAGGAGACGAGGAAGGCAGGTGTGTGTGTGTGTGTGTGTGAGTGACATGAGTGAGAAAGTGAAGGCAGCTCTGAGTGTGTCTAAAGGTGGATATGTGACAGTAAAAAGCACACAAGCAGCACCCTGCAAATGTCATCTTTGTATCCTGCACACAACGCTTACACTGCCACTCTGCAATGCTGCCATGTGATGACGATATCATGTGTGGGGGAAGAATCAGTGATACCCACACACACTCTTAACTTCTTACTTTCTGTTTAAACTGAATCAGCTGTTCTCTCTCTCTCTCTCTCTACTCTTGCAGCTCGCTCTTCAAAAAGCTACACAACCCACTAGAAACCATTTATAACCTCATCCAACCCCGAGCAATTACACCAGCAGCTGCTCCATGTCGCTCCACGTATGTGTGCGCTGCTGTGTGAGTAAACTTATGTGTGAAAGTGCAGTGTCAGTATGTGTGTGTGTGTGTGTGTGTGTGTGTGTGTGTGAATCTGAGGTGTGTTTCTGAGAAGCACACCATATGGCTTGTGTGTGTGTTTTTTTTTTTTTTAAGTTTTCAATGCTTCAGATTAGTGTGTAACTTTACACTTTGTGTGTGTGTGTGTGTGTGTGTGTGTGTGTGTGTGTGTCTGCAGAGGGCCAGGTGGCAGCTTGAAACATCACTTTAATTAAGCCAGAGAGTCTGTGTTCTGCGGTCGAAAACGGCCCGCTCTGATTGACTCGTATGTGTCACCGACAGGCCGCTAACAGAGAACACAGAAGCAGCATCAAGTGGGCTGCCACAGGTCTGCAGCCATTAATCACTGCGCCGCTCACACCGCGTTTATTACAACACAGAGTGAGGGAACTCGTGAATACTCCCCAGTATGTCATAAAAACTCAACGCTTTTTTTTTTTTTTTTTTTTTTTTTAAAGGTGGGAGGGAGTATTCTGATTTTTTACTTATGTAATATGACAACATACAGCAATGAAATATCCATCCATTCCATTATCTAAACTGCTTTGTCCCATTGGGGTTACAGGGGGGAGAGAGGGGGGGTGGAGCCAATCCCAGCTGTCATTGGGTGAGAAGCAGGTACATCCTGGAAATGGTCGCCGTTCACACTACGGGCAATTTTAGAGTCATCGATTAACCAAAGAGAATGTCTTTGGACAGTGGGAGGAAGTTGGAGAGCACCCACTCATGCACGGGGAGAACATGCAAACAGTTCTCAAAACAGAACTGTTCAAGAGGGGTTCAAACCAGGAACCATCTTGCTGTGAGACGACTCATATTCAAGTTCTCATTAGAAGAATTCCTTGTTTCTTTGTATATTTTCTATCATGTTATTGTTATGTTATTGTTTTCTCACTGCAGACAAATACAACAACATGCATTTTATTTATTTCATAATGCACCTTTTCTAATGTTGCAACTTGTTGTTGTGCTAATAATAGCCTTTATATATACTTCGCTGTTCCATGTGTGTTTAAGTGCAGCAGCTGAACTGAAGTCAAGGAGCACAAATAAGTAAGACTGTAACACAACTGAGTCACAACATACTCACTTTCATATTGTGCTCTCATTATTGAATCTAAATCACTGACGATCTGTGATGTGAGCGTTGAACGTGGATATTTGAGATGGATTCTGCTGTAAAATAATGTTTCTAAAGCATGACTTGTGGCCCTATCATTATATTAAGCTTATCAAACATACGACAGGCTTCAGCATTGCTGAACAAATTATATATTGCATAAAATCTCACAGCCATTGATATATGAGCTGCTTATTAAAGAACGAATGTGAAACATTTGACACACAAATAGATCAGAAATCAAGAATATCCTGTGTGAATGTCTCTCTGAGTCATGACTGTCTACAACGAGTGAGAAGCGTGAGTCCCGCTGGCTGTGTTGTTGTTGGAGCCTTGTTTACATCATGTTTACATGGACAGGACGGCCTAAAGTTGTTTAAGTCAAGGACTAGAGAAAAGAAGAACATACTCACAGATTATTTGAATGTCATGTGTCTTTAGATCTCAGTCATTCTGTGTCTATGTATGTGCAATATGAAGCTATGAGCTAACCAAAGAGCGCTAACATCAGCATGCTAACACAACAATGCAGGTCACAGGTGATTGCAGCTCGAGAAAAGGACTATTTTGTCCACCGCTTGAGCTTAACGGTTCTTAATTATGACGCGTTCTAATCGATAACTCCTTCGTGTGAACGCGAGTGGAGAGGGGGTTGGAGGTGTGTCTCTGGAGGAGAGCGGAGGCTTCAGTATGGGGAGGTGCGGCCAAACAGCAGTTTGTTTTGGTTTCATGCTGGAGCTCAAGAGCGACACCTACTGGATCAAAAAGTCACACGTTCTTCCTTTAAGTGATGAATATGCATCACAGAGTCATTTAGATCTCTGCTGAGATCATTTATCTCTAAATGAGATTGACATTTTACTCTACTGTGCTGTGTCATGACTTATGATTGTATCAGTATTAGCAAATTAAAGGTAGTTATCGTCCTACACCGACAGTGTGGAAATGCTTTAAGCCTAATTAAGTCATGTTAAAGACTATGACGTGTAATAAAATGTGTTTGCTGTATAAAGTAGTTGTGTCATGTTTGGAGCGCATCATCCAACCCACTGCCTGCAGGCCTCCTATACACATTCTGTATCATGACTTATAATACCGTACATTTGATGAGATACTTATACTGTATCATGAGCAGCCGATACGTTTCCTGCTTCACAAAATGCTTTATCATGTCATCAAGAAAACCTTCCTCATTACGCTCAAAGTGCCAACAGATTGCCAGTTTTATAACAGCTTTGTGTGCACAGGAAACATGCGCCGCGTGATAGATAGCATCTTGGCACGCCGGAGCTTGCAGCATTACCGCTGCCGAACGCTGATGGCTTTTCAATATAGCATCGCAGTCATTTTCCATAAGCCTGTGTGACTAATGGCATAAACAATGGAGCTGAATGTTCACGTTATGGGCCCCATTATGGAACTATCAGGGCAGGCATGTAAAGACGGATGTGTTTGATCAGCATTCTATTGTGGGGAGCCAGGTGCAGGGAGGAGGTTTCTCGTCTTTAAGTGTGTTTTAAGAGTGTGTGTGTGTGTGTGTGTGTGAGGAGAGAGGAAGAGCGGAGTCGAAAGCAGAGATGCAAAGAGCTTTAAAAAAGAAGACAAGAGCGAGAGAAATACAATGAAAATTGAAGAAGAGTGAAGCTATAAAGTGCTGGAAGAGAGAGAGAGAACCCCAACAACAAAGTGTTTTGTTTCTACACACCATTGGCAAAGCAATGAATTGCTTAAATGACTCCCAGTCTATTTGTGAAGCCACCCCCAAAGTATCTCATTTTGCTTTGATGCCTTTTTACCCAGGCAGCGTAATGACCCAAGCTCGGTGATGTCATGCAGCAAGTTACCTCTATCAGCCAATGGGTTTTCCCTGCTGTCACGGGCTGCCTCGGATGCTGAAGGGAGCAGTCAAAGTCAACAGGTTAGACAGAGGCCACTTCCAATGCAGGAAATGTAATGAGGACAATCTCAGGTAGAAAAATACAAAACATAGTGACGTCCAGGATTGTGAATGTGACGGCTGATGGGGTTGAAAGCAAATACAAATGTTCCTATAAGCTCCTAAATTGTGTGAACGAATCAAATGGAGAATCATTTTGTTGCACAAAAAACAATAAAAGTCCAATAAGTGAACGTGCTTTAGAGCCGGATACAAAAAAAAAAAAAAAAAAACAAAGTGTCACGCAACTAACAACAGGCTCCAGTGGAGTGCTGCAAGGAAGAAAATATGGGGGTGATTTTTAGGTCATTGGAGCAATTTCCAGAAGTGAGTGCTTTTTTCTCTTTTTTTTTTTTTATTTCCACTTCAGTTGTTGCATTTTGTCTGCCGTGTAACCCTCCACAAAGCTCTCAGTTACTTACAGGATGAGTCATGCCATGCCAGCCTCTTAACAACCTCAGCCTTAGTGCCAGGAAACCTACAGATGTAGAAGCTGCCCAATAACTGAACCTTGTTATTTGTTATTTTACATGTGTTATTAAAAGACGGAAGACAGAAGGATTAGGAATGTTAGAGCAACAAAAAACATTAGATATGCTATAGCTCCACTAAGCCCAACATGTCATCTCGTTTGTTCATCTTAAATCTTGTTTTTTTTTTGTCTTTCAACTCCAACTTTAATATCCACTCTCTTTATGGTAGCTGCATGGGGCAGGGACAAAATACTGACATGGTGATATATCATCATTCTGACCTGTGTGAGACAATCATCGTGTCCATGGCGCCACACATCGATGTTTTGACAAAAAGAATACGATGCTCACCACAGATTTCTCAGACAGGTCAACTCATCTCACCATGTCACTACACTTCATGAGAATGAGGGTAACATTAACAAAACTTCTGTAATTTGATGCGCAACCAGGACTTGAACTGGCGACCCTCCAGTTCCCAACCCAAGTCCCTACTGACTGAGTTACTGGTTTAAGTCCTTTTGCGGACCAAGTCTGAAAATTTGGTAGCTGGAGAGGTGCTGGTTCACTTCCTGAGCACTGCTGAGGTGCCCTTGAGCAAGACACCGAAAAGTATTCTCATTTATATCCATATTTTTACATATTTAAAGCAAAGTATGTATTGTCCAGTCTTCTCTTTTTTAAGTTTCTATACATTTCCCATTACTCTTCTTGTACACGGTTCTTTTGTAATAATTGTACTTCCTCTAAACCCGGGACCTTAGCTCCTTTTCATGAACCTTCAAGCTCTGCAATGACAATAAAGCTCCTTTAATCCTTGAATCTTTATTTCTGGAATATGAGGCTTGTGAATATGCACAGTTGGATTTTCTGTTGGTCTCTGCTCTGCATTTATGGCACGTCGGCAGGATATGCAATACGATTAAGTGACAGATGAATGTCTTTTCTTTCCTATGGGACACTTTTACACTTATTAAAACTGAAAGAGTCATAGTCGACGTAGTGTGCAGTGTGAGGTGTCCTGTCAATAGTTTCACAAAGTCTATTTTATTATGATGGTCTGTGCAGAATGGTCTTTGAGGGGCTTTAATACCAGAGTGGTAATCTAATGACAAAAAGAATCATGACTGTAGTTCCCGCTCTACCTCGATCTCTATCTTAATCTTTTTGTAAATGCATCTAAAACTTCTAAATGGATAATCATCCATTAACATCAGCTCTGTTCTGTTGGATCCACACCCTGCATCTACAGCTCTACACCATCACAGTGCCTCTTCTGCTGCTGTTGTTGTTGTTTTCTTTGGCAGTGAGATGTTTAAAATGAGGCGCCTGACAGCAGATAACATCTGAGAGGCACAGACTCCATTATGGTGGTTGATGTTCCGGGAAAGAGCGAGGAGAGAGACTCATCTGGAGATTTGGAGTCAGGAAGGGAGAAAAAGGAAGTGGTGGTGAGAGGAGAGAAAAAATTGAGGAGAGAGGAGACGGCAATCCCATTTCTAATTCCCTCAATCTTTGTGCCTCTCGACCCTGTGGTTATATTGACATTTTGGGAAAAAGTGAATCAATTGCTCTTACTTTCCTGACTCCTGACAGCTACACAAAGAATTATTTTTTATAAAAATATACACACTTCAGTCTCTGCAGGTGAGGTGCTGAAGATGTACGTTGATTATTTGTGGGGAAACACTGACAAAAGAGTCACTTTAACACAAACATGGCTCATTGACAGCAGCTAGCTGAAATAAAACTACAAACTGACTTATTTCTATTACATGATGTAAAGAAGACCAAATAAAACCCAATCAGAGCTCCAGGGGCGCTGCTGCTTGTCAACTGGCAAGGCAGACATCTGCTTGGGGCCCCAGACCAATAAGGGGGGGCCCAGAGGGCTGACAAACTTTGGACCAAAGAAGCGACTCAAAATGTGCAAATTTTGCAATGACAGTAGGAAACCTCCCTAAGGGGGGCCCCATCTGACCGAATTCATCCTGTTGCCCTTTTGCTCCAACTGATACTAGAATCGCCACTGCAGAGCTCAAGTTCTTTCCCACTGCTGGAGGTCCTTAAACTACTGCAGGGAAATGCAAATTTGTAAAATAACGAGTGTTTGCATCGATGGTGGAAGGACATCAGTGCGCATTGTAGTTCCTGAAAGTGTGTGTGTGTGTGCGTGTGCGTGTGTGTGTGCGTGTGCGTGTGCGTGTGCGTGTGTGTTTGTGCAGATGTGACAGCTGTGCACCCAATATCCAACGACGTCCTGCCGTACCGCTCCTTGATGACGAGAATCATCCACACAGCTTGCAGGTACGACCGCCGTTCAAATTAACTGGCCGATTACGCGTCTAATGTGCCACTCAAAACCCAATCATATCACGCACACTTGAGCCAGATGTAACCTGAAGGGGAGGCCAGATGTGAAGACGTGCAAGTCTGCGGCTGTTAAATCACAGCTCCGGCTCTCGCTTTGTAAATGGAAGAGTTATGGAAATCTGAATGGCCTTTTAATTTCAGCAATAAAGAAAGATGAGCTTTTAACAGCTGCTGTGGTGGGAGGAAAAAAAACCTTTTAGGGTACGATGTGACGCGTAACATTCAGACTTTACTGTAACAGTCTGGGGGATACTGTGCATCCTGCTGAGAGCTGATTTTTCACAGGAAGTACCTTCCTCGTACTGAGGATATACGTATCTGCTGCCACTGCAGGGTACAATCCCAACATTAGGGATGTTTATTTGCATTCAGTGCCTGGGGTATTTATGACCGTGATATATCAGGCTATATAAGTCAAGTGCCTCTATTACAAATGGCCCCATATGTCAAAGTTGCCTGTGCCATTTTGGAACAGCCAACTCTGTCTGCATCAGTCCCCCCCCCCAACTCAATAAAGTGAAACAGAACCTAAACAGACTCGTTGTTATTCACCTCACATAGCAGAGCGAGTCTGCTGCAAGAAGGCCATACTGACAACCTTATCCACAGCCAGCAAATAAAGCCAACCCCCGTGTGTTTCCACCTTTGCTGACAAATACAGCTCCGAGGGGAGTGATGGAGCGAGTTACTCTGCAGCACAGCCTGAAACCCACACACTGATGAACCATGAAATTGTGATTTGTTAGAGCAACTCAGGATGGAGATTAAAATGAGTGTTAGTGATGAACATTTTTTTTTTTTAATGCACGACCAGTGGCTTGCACTTTGATTAACCGGGCTAGTTACTATGGTACCCTGGATGCATAGCACACGCTTTTTGTTTTGTCCCAACTGGGCGATACAAAGCTGTGTTTTTCATAGCAGAGATTAATAACATCCATGCAAAGGGGAGTTGAGGCTAATAAAGGTTGTAGGAGCTGTAAGCAGTTTTTTTGTTTTTTTTTTTGGGGGGGGGGGGGGGGGGGTAGTAGGTTTAATAGCCGACTAGTGTCTGGGTGGAGTCTTACCAAATCTCGGGGGCACTGCATCTGGGGCTCAGCATTCTAGAGGATGGATGGAGGAGGGGGGGATGGGGGGGAGAGAGAGAGAGAGAGATCAAACACAATTATTTATTGACAAAACTTCTGATAATATGAGCACAAAAGAAGCGGTGAAGGAAGAAGGGGGGGGGGGGTTATTTGTAAATGGAAGAGATGGTTTGAATAAATGAGTATACAGGATATGAAAATGGTCACTCTCAGCAGGCATATTGGAAGATGTTGTTGCTTGGGAGTAGCAATCTTTGAAGATGATGGATAACGTACTGGTTTCTAACCTGCAAACTTAACCAATCCCAGTTTGATGCACTTTCTGGAGTCTCTCCAGCCAATGTCCTCACCCCCTGTCCAGCTGCCATAATCCAGATAAGAAAAACTCTCAGGCCACCCAGATTGCTTTTACCAGACAACAGCCACCAAGCTCAACTCTTAGCAATAAGCTTTACAAAACATGATGAAATGCTTTGTCAAGTTTTCTCTTCTGGAGTTTAAAAAAGAAGCAGCTGGGGCGCCAGATAGCCTAGTGGTTATGTTGCGGGCCCCGTGTACAGAGGCTATAGTCCTCATCGCAGTGGCCTCGGGTTCGAATACAACCTCGGCCCTTTGCTGCATGTCATCCCCCGACTCTCTTCTCCTTTCTCTCCACAGCTAACCTCTTGAATGAAGGCAAAACGGCCCAAAAATATCTTGCATAACTACACTTCAGGATGGAGACTTTTCCAAACCTTAGAACATTCATTCAATCTCTGAAAGTCAACGTCAACCTTCAAATACTTAACTTTAACCACATTGTTTATGTCTGCAGCAGTCTTTTGACACTTGACCTGAGTTAGGACTCTCAAGTTATGCAAAGACAAACCTACTCATGCTTTGAACACGACTACAACATGCCAGAATCAGAGTCTCTAAACTTTTAAAAACCTGAACGTTTGTGCTGATTACATGAAATGCAATGGAAATAAGCGTCGATCAAACCTGAGGCAATGAAGGACATTGCTTTCTTAACTTAAAAATTACATTTTTATGTAAGATGCATTAATATTTCAGTCTTTCAATAGAGGCCTATTAAGATAGCAAAAGCAATTTGCATAAAATATCCAATTCTTTTGTTAGACTACAATAATGTGGAAAGCTTTTTAAACCGATTTCATCATTATATGTCGTTTCAGAGAGTGATTTAGTTTCAATGTTGTGATAAAACAGCTCGTCCAGCTTATTTAATGCATTATTTACCTGCTGCATGTGGCAGCTGCACAAATGATGCAACAGCTGCTGGCTTCATTTTACTACAGTTCAGTACCTGATGTTTCAAATTCATTCTCTCCTGACTCTTTCTTTGTGTTTGGGTTTGTTTCACCCAATTTATAATAATAAAATTGCTGTTTTATAAAGATATATAAGGAGTGGCATAGTTTGTTAACTGGCAAAATATGCGGTGAAGACTTCCACTATCTCTTTAACCGGTGAGAAAATTCCAACCCCCCTAGCCCATATCTTCAGATAAAGGCTGAAGCAGCTCATTTTATGCACTGGGCGTCATCTCCCTCAGGCTCCATCTAAACCCCTTCCACACCACCCTCTCCACCCTGCAGCTGATAACCACAGTTCAGATAAATCCTGCCATCTAACTACCAACAGCGCAGAGTCAGCCGGACTCAAAAGCCCACTCTTATCTCAAAGATGAGTATCGACCAGTGTGGCAGTTCCACTCATCCAGCACAGCCACTAGCCTTTCCCTGCATCCCCCTTTGCTGTGATAATCGTCACCTATCAAGGCCTTTGATTGACATTTTTCTTACTAGCGAATGGCTGCATGTGCCTGTAATGGCCCCGGTGGCTGCTGAAGGTGCTGGGGGAGACCATTTTTACGACAACAGAGGGGGGGGTGTAATGCCGTGTGGGTCTATAACTCATGTAACTACTCGATAAAGTGTTTTAAAAGCAGCAGGTGCAGATGGAGGGATAGCAGAGCATCATTGACCGCCGCAGTGGAGTAAACACCAACGTGATTTAAAGCTCGCTAACAGCTTAAATCTTCCCACATGGAAAAAAAGGCCACAGTGCTTTTAATCTTCTTCTTTTTCCCTCCATTATGAGCTTCATCAAACAACTTTGAGGTAACGCCACATGTGCAGAACATCAAGCCTGATTTCTCTGAGAAAGGTAATTAAGATGTTGCATCATGTAAAAAAAAAAAACCACAAAGCTGGAGTAAAGCAAACAGCTGCAACAAAGGGACCGACTAAATGAGGAACGGTTTGCATGAATCATTGAAGTTCCAGGATGTGAGTGGCACCTGACCAGACTGAGTGACTGCTCTACCGTCCAAAAAAAACCAAAAAAACAGCAAACACAGATTTGCTGCTGTTTGTAGAGTATAACGTATGAGGATGTGGTCCTGATTGATATTCCAGCCAGGTGCGTTTTTTTTTCTCTCGCTTTCTTTCACTCTCTGCCTACTACCTGCCCCTGCGTCTGTCTGTTCATCCCCACATCCATCAATCTGGTGAGTCAGCTCTGGAGGCAGAATGCAGGGAGAAAAGGTGGAAATACAGAGAAAAGGAAAGTAACCTTATGGAGAGAGAGAGAGAGAGAGAGAGAGAGAGAGAGAGAGAGAGAGAGGAAGAAAAGGGAAGCGGTGAATGAGAATGAAAAGGGCATGAGGGGCGGGTGACGCATAGGAGAGAGTGAGGGAGATAAAAAGAGAAAAAGATTGAGCTCCACAGGTTTCCTCTGAGGAGCGCTGCAGTTTGATAATAAAGGGGGGGGGGGGGGGGTGCAGTGAGCGAATGGGGGCAATCAATCTGCATGCATGGCTAGCGTGTTGTGTTAGAGGGGAAATGAGGAGTGAGGATTAATGGCACTTGCGACAGCACAGGAGCACAAACAAGACACAGTCCCATAACCTGTTTGAATCTATGCATGGGGACTCCATTATAATGTCGTGATGTGAGATGAATTAAATGCCGGCAGGTTGCAGAGTTAAAGAAGGTAGGAGGTTTGGAGAATGACGTACCGGTTCTCGGGGGAGGAAAGCCTCCTCCTGCCGTAGAACCAGCAGCCCCACAGCTCCGCCCATGGGTGTGGCCCTGAGCAAGGACACCACCTCCTCTTGGGTTCGCCCATTCAGGTCGACTCCATTCACCTGGACAGAAGACAACACAGAAGGTTTAAGGGCTGGGCAAAAAGAACGTCATGGTCTGAGACTGAAAACACATGTTGATAAGGACATTTTCCACTGGATATTTATAGATCTCACTGAACATGAAAGCTGATATTTAGCCAGGTCACAGTCACTCTTTACATCGGAGTGGCTTGAAGCTGTTAAAACTCAACAGATGTGTGTTTTTCTCGTCAGATGTCTGGAGGTTAAAAGAAAGCCTGCTAAAATGGTCGAGGCAGCTCAACTTGCAGCACATGAAGCCCTTTATTTGACACTGAATCTGCTTTAAGTGCGTTGGACTCTTTTAATTACAGTCTGTTTGTTTTGAAGGGGGGGGGGGTCACCTCTGCAGAACATTTGGCTCCTGTTGGAAACCTTGTGAACAATGAATGAGTAATCCTTGCCAAAAAGTGTCATTAGTGGCAGCTCAGCTTACAGACAGTGAGGCACTGATGATGAAGAGACGCTGATTTTTAACGAGAAACTGCTCCATTTAGTGGTTTCCCAAGTGAAATTATCTGTAGTTTAAAAAAAAAAGAGAGAATAGAGCCCCAACAGTTCAGTGCCTTGCACAAGGGTACCTCAGCAGTAATCAGGAAATGCACCTGTACAGCAACCACTCTGCACAGGGACTTGAACCAGTGACCCTCCAGTTCCCACCCCAAGTCCCAACAGAGTGAGATCCTGGTGCATCATTTGTTTACGCAACCCAGCTGGGTTTGTTGTAAAAAGGCTACATGGTTTCATCTCTCAGGTATTTTTGAAGTCTAGTTTTTGTTTTTCTTATTGCAATGTGATAAGATTGTCATAAATTACATTTATTTCATCACTAGCTTGAAAAGTCTGAATAAAATAAACCTGAAGATCAAAGGATTTTCAGGTTTGTGCAACAACCCCACAGATTACGTGTAGCACAGTGTAATCCTTTATGCAGATGGTTTGTAATAAAGGGATAACACAACTTCAAAAGATGCTCCGTCTCTCTACACAACATATCCATGAAAAAAAAAAAGCCCTTTGATTTTCATCCAGAATGATTCAGTATGAACCTGTTGCAGCTCACATTCAACAGATGACAGGTATGTTCCATAGATTACACACACATTAGTGAATTAGTGCTGGGACACAGTTCATACTGGAGTTTGCTCTCCTGACGACACGACCCGACATGAGCGCCTTAACTCACATCATCTTCTGTTTAAACACTTTCTCACCTCAAGCAGCCTGTCTCCTGCCTTAAGACGGCCATCTTGGATGGCAGCCCCCCGAGGCAGAATGTTCTTCACGTAGATGGGTGCCGAGCCGCCGATGGGAACGTCCCGAGAGGTTATACTGAAGCCGAGTCCCTCGGGGCCTGTGGGATGAACAGGAAGGAGAGAGATCTCATGATGGAATCTGAGTTTATATCTCGAGGCAAAATGTGAACTTGCTTTTGATTCGCTCTGCTCTCCTGCAGCTCAAGTCGCTGTGAGTGAGTTTATATTCAGCTGACATGGAGCTACTACTGGATCTGATGTAAGTTTAGGAAATAACAGACAAAAGTGTTTAGATAGAAATCTGCCCTCAGATGTGGAGCTGGTTGTTTGATCAGGAGTGACAGGGAAGTGTTCTCTAGTTTCCTTCAGCACTGTTTTCTGGAAGTGACACCGTGGTGAGTGAGATAATTCATATTTTTAAGTCAGATTGAAGGAGTTTCTCTCTGGTCTCTGAGACTTAAGACAAGCTGTGATCCGTTGGAGGTTTTTTTTTTTTTTGGCTCTTTTTTTTTTTTTTTAAATCACCATTTCACTCAATCTTTGAAACTGGTAAAAGAATTACTTTAAGCAAGAGAAAGGAAAGTTTGTCAGGATTTTGCTTTTCACACAAGTTGTATAGCGCTAGTCAGAAGACTACTCAAATGATTTTACACCGCATGTCACACAAACCCATTCAAACCCATTCACACACTGATGGTAGAGGCTGCTATACAGTGACCATCAGAAGTAACTCATCCCACAGCAGCTGGAGCAATTGGGGGTTAAATATCTTGCCTAAGGACACATGGGACATGTGGCTGCAGTAGCTGGGGATCGAACCCTCGACCTTTCCGGTTGAGAGACGACAGACTCTACCCACTGCACCACAGCCGCCCTCAACTTTTTTGGATCACAACATTATTAGAGCTTTCCTTTCAGCGTCTCCATCCTTTGCTACAAACTAAACCAGCCAGTGTACAACCAATAGTTGAACATTTATAAATGTAGATTTGAGTTCACCAAGTTCCAGCCTTAGCTTGTTGGAGAGAACTTGTTTATGAATCTCACTCTTCTTTCTAATGTGACCTGATTTTGCTGATTTGTCTCTGCTTATTAATCCTTGTTCATGTGGGCGGATGTGTTTGTGTACTTTGCAAGTTTTGCCTCTAACCCATTTAAGAGTGTATCATTAAGAACCATTAGTAAAAACAAGGCTGCATATCACGTCAATAATCCTGATGGACAAACAAACTGTTTCCTCCTATTAAGCCAGGAAATGAGAAGAAATCCTGCATCCTCTCAGCGAAGACCTCCAGCAGGTTTAGAGTGAATAATTAAAAGTAGGATGTATTCTGAGACAAAGGCAACTTCTTCTGGAAAAAAGACGTCAGACTTTGTAATAAGGAAATGTAATCACACGGTGCCACAAAGTTCAGTTCAGGCAGAGGACGACTTTTAATACTTTTTCTTAATATTTAATTAAAGCCAGAGAATGAAAACAGCCTATGGTTCTGTAAGATCATATCACACTGTCTGAGGTCATTGAAGGGTAACTAAAAGGTGTTCCAGGTTTACTCCAGCATGTTTGTCCATCTCCATCAACAGATGTGATGGTCAACATGGTAAATCTGGCCATTTTGAATCTGGGCTTTATATTTTTACTCTTTAGTGTCTAAATGACTCACAGGTCTCAGATTCCCAACTTAGACTTGATTCATAGGGAGAACGGTTCTTTAATGAAATGTGTCTTGTTTTTGCTTTGTCTGACTTTCTCTTTAAAGCATCACTTATAACAGTCAAATGTCTTAGACTCTATTATTTGATGTGTTGGTTTATGTACTGGTGGAATGGTTGAACTAAGATGAAGTAGATGTATTTGTCTTGTTTGTATTGATGTTTTGCGTCTAGCGTTGGTATCGGTTGGATATCTTACCTCTTGGGAGTGTTATTTTTTGGAGGAAGGTTGATGTTAATGGTGCTGTGGTGATGTTAGCTAAATGACATGCTGGAACATAAAAATGACTCTCAGCCAATGTGTCAGAAATATTCCATGTGGGATTGGTAAATTCATTCATTCACATAGGAAAAGATTTGGAATCTCTCCAATAGATAGCTTCAGCTGCAAAATGGTCAATAACGGCTGCAACAACAAAGTCCTTAAAGAAAAGGACACCAAACCCAAGAAAATCCACTAACAGACTTATATGTTGAGTGTCAATCATTACAAAAGAGTTAACCATTACATTGCAAATGAACCACATTCCATTGTCAAAAGCTGTCATGTTGCGTTGCCTCAATTGACGAGTTCTGTTGTATTACTGTGTGTAACAGAAGAGAAATGGATCCAAACGTACCACTTACAACAGCAAAGTCATTCAATATCACAAGCAAAACAAGCCGATCAAGGAAGCTGAAGAAAAGTAATGTCATTCATCTGTGAAGTAGAGTTACTGTTTCAGTCTACAGACACCACTGGTGGTTTTAAAATAAGTGTGGTAACCGGGTTCAAAATAAAAATGTTGTGTCTTTAAAATGAGTTCTATATCTCCAGGGATGTAATCAGAAACTTTTAATAACAATCTGATGCTGTGACGTTATTTTATTGGAGGTACTTGGGAGATATTTGCTGAAAGATCTCATATCATCCATACACCCCATCTCACTGACGCAGACTGCAGCAATCTACTAGACCATTTACAGAACTGGTGCTAGAGTATTTTTCTTTTGGGCCTCAAAACCCTTTAAGACTGTCCATTTCTGAACCACATCCTGCCCTGGCAGCTCTGATGGAGGCACTTCATTACCTCATGTTGTGTTTTTGTAGTGATTTGTATGGAAACCTATATGAATCTCATTGTCGTTGAGATTGTTCAACAAAATGAATTAAAAGAACAATAATGAGCATCCTTTCTGTATCAGAGTGCTGGCCCTAATCCTCGCTGCCTGTCTGGCTGAGCTGATACAAAGAAGAACAGAACACTTAGCTATTCTGTTTCACATCCTCTTCCCTAATCCCCTCCATTGATGAGCCAATCAACTTCCCACAGGCAGACGAGGTGTGGTGTTATGCTCACGGGGTAAAAAAGCTTGTCGTGTTCCCGGCTTTAAACAGGGAGGAGGATCTCTACACTCTCATTAGCTTGATTAAGACAAACCTAGGCAATTTCCTGTGCAGAATGGGGATGCTTTGATTGATTCTGATAGTCCCCGGGATTTGCGGCGAGACCGGTGTCTGATTCAGGCACGTCAACAATACGAGAGTTTAATCTGCGCTCAAAGCTTGTGGGCTAAAGTCGGTACTCGAAAACAAAACAGATGAGCCAAACGGGCCTCTTGGGAGTCGCCGTTAATCCCTGGAAGTGTCTGCTCTGACAACAGCAAACAAAAAAAGGTGGAATGAGAGAAGATAACATCTTTTTGAGTGAGAATAAAGCAGGTCTCCCGGCATGACTTGTGTAGAATCCAATGGATTCTGGGTATTATGACTAAGCAGAGACGTGAGAATGAAAGGAAAAAAAAAATGACAAAGGAGCAAGTGGAAACAGCTATCAGCCGGGATGGAATGTGCAATAAGCAGCCTGGTGTTTTTATGGTTTTCTTTTTGTTCCGGTTTCATTTCAGCCCCAAGAGAGGGGGAGCAGATTCGGGTACAAACTTCAACAGGCATATGGTGCAGCTCTGTCAGACTCTTTGCTGTGGCATTTGACAGCACACAGGGACCAGTGTGCTGCTTAGCAACAAGCTCCCTGGCCCTGAGACCTGGCACCGACACCTGGTATACTGTTGGCAGAGGTTTGCACCACCTGTGCCAGCTGTCACTCAAAGCCTATACATGGGGAAATATCCCCCAATGTTCCATTCTCAACATCGCCTTTCAATTCTCGATTTCCATCTCCAAGATCCAGTACAGATTATTGGACCCATTACCCACTGTTTGAGCTAGCAGCAGTATGGTAAAACTCTGGATGTTCTTAAAGCCTGTTACATCATTGTTCACATTCGGCATGCTTCTGTGTTGGAGCCGTTTCTTAACTAACTGTTTCAGCACTTGTTTTTGATGCGCCAGGAATGGGGGGAAACTTGCTTGTTTGTTCAGTTGGAATGGAAAAGCCAGAAACGTACAAAGCATCCCCTCTCATTTTTTGGAAGCCTGAGGAATGCAAAGCATGAGCGGAGATTTTCACAGCAGACTGTCTAGAAAGAATCAGATGATACTTTGAAAATAACAAATTATGTAATGCATCGTGTAGTGACAGAAATGTTTTTTCCACTCTTGACTATGGAAATTAAAAACACATTTCTGAAGCTACTAAACTCCAACCAGACTGTGAAATCCAACACCGGGATTGCTAAATGCTATGCTAAGGCTACGAAGGTTTCTCACATCACAGTGGCCTCCAAAATCCTTTCAGTCAATAGCTTTCCACTTCAAATACATTCCTAATTAGATCAAATCTATTGTCAATCATTGAAGGCAAGAAAAAAAACACAACCGTGTAGCTGGCACATGAAGAAGCATTAGGCTATAAAAGACATGGACGCAGTCTCAGTGATGTCACCCATTGTTTTCTTAGGAGGCCATGATTGGCGGTCACAACACTGGAAATATTATATCAACTTACCCAATCCATCAATCATTGGAAATCAGATGTTTAAAGATTAGTTTTTGGGCATTTTGTGCCTTAATTGGAGAGACAGGACTGTGGCTATAGTCAGAAATCAGGGAGAGAGAGAGAGTAGGGAATGACATGCGGGAAAGGAGCCACAGGTCGGATTTGAACCTGGGGGACTACAGCGTCCATACATAGGGCACGCGCTCTAACCACTGCTCCACCAGTGCCCCCATGGAAGTCTGATTATTAATCTAGAAACATGCTTAGTGGTTTAGCTTAAGTGGTCCTCAGCTTCTTTGGCAAACAAATCTACCACCTGTGAGTCATTTTAGCCACACCCCTTATTATGAAATGTGTCCATAAGTCTAAGACTTGATCAAAATGGATCAGCAATGAGCTATTTATACTGAATTTTTATGTTTTTCTGTCAACGTATTTACTTCTGCTGTTAAAATTGGCATTTTCATTTGGGACCTAATAGGGATCCTCTTGCTGGTGCATCAAGCCTCAAGTGGACACTCAAGGAACTGCAGTTCTTTTGCACAACTGTATTGTGTTTTTTTAACAATAGTGGTTTCCTTTTGGAAGAAAATCATTAAGTAAAAGAATGTTTGAACTGCACATTGTCTGTCTTGGGTAGTTCTCTGTCCCCTTTATATTGAGTAAGGCATCTTCCTTCACTCACCTTTCTTTAACTGTATATTGAGCCTCCTCCCGACTTTTTTGGTGTATCCAGCCGTCGGCGTTGCGTTTGCCGCCCTCTGAGGCGAGTGGGTGTGTCCCGTAGGAGGCTTGGCCGCAGAGACGGCCGGGTGAGTGAGAGGCGGGTATCCGTCAGTCTGTTCAGGGTGAGTGTGAGGATGAGGATGAGGGTGGGAGTGCGGGTGATTTTGGGAGCCGTGCCGGGACACCCTCTGCGGGGTGTGGTCCATGCCGGAGACGATGCTGCCCGTCAGGGAGTCCGGGCTGAAACGGCCCGAGGAGTACGCGGGGTTCCTCTCCGAATGGGACAGCTGCTCGTAGTGGGTTTTCATCGACGTCGGTACCACATGAAACATGATGACGGGAGAGCGCATGGCCTGGCGGAACATGTTCTGGGCTCTGGGACAAAAAAAAAAACAGGAAAAGAGGATGAAACAGAGACTTTATTATTTTAACTGATTTCAATCATGAAGACCTTCACATTCATATTCATTCATTTCTGCCTGTGGAAACTTGGATATAATCGCTCTCTATCAATGCACAGACACACACTACACGTGTACACTGTATATTTAAAACCCGTCTTCGCCCACCTGAACATCCTGACATGTTAATTAATACTTATTGCCAGCGTGAGCGGCTCTAAAAAAGAGACAGAATCCTCCCCGACAGCTCCATCACATAATCCCCTCATTTGGCGTCAGATGAAGGAGACCTCTATCCGACAAATAGTTTGCAGAAAATCCTCTTTTTAAAAGCCCCTTCCTTCACTGTGAGCTCATGTACAGTAGGTGTGAATGGAAACTTATGTTGCCTGTCAGCGCCCTGAAACACCCGAGCCTTGTTAGCACCACCTGTTTCAATAAAAAAAGACTTTGGAATGGCTCTTCCCTCTGCCCCTCTGACAGCTGGGGAGGGGAGCCCAGGATTTCTATTGCTACCCCTGCCGCTCCTAAATGAAGACTAAAACTAAACCCCCCCATGGAAATCTGAGTTGTGAATTCCAGGACCATTTTTTCCCAGACACTAATAAGCTTCCCTGAGGAGCATTGGCCTCGTCTCGGCATCTTTACGATTTCTTCCTGGATGGAGTGGCAGACAACCTCTCGTCTGCTCTGCTTATAAAAAAACACCATTAAACAACAAGAACAGCAGTCGATGCCCTTGTTACACCATTATGTCTGGAAGCCTTATTCCCATATGTTGCTTGACTAATGCCTCACAAGGGAGAGGGCGGGGGACACCGTGGCTTGATTAGGAGTGGTTTATCTTAACATTTTCTACCCCGTCATAGTCCTACATTTGGTGTAATTGCTCTCGGTGTATGGTGATTGGATCCAATGCATTCTAAAGTATTTTTTTTATAAAGCCCTGAGTTAGTTATTTTGGTCATCCACTTTCTGCTTGCTGTCTAGTTTACATCTAATGGGAAAATAATTCTCATATTGTACAACAGGCTATATTAAAGTCACAGTTATGACCATGAACTCATCAAGAAAATGTTTGCAGTGATATAAAATCGTATAGGGGCATTTGGCAGGCTGATTTCTGTGTATAATATGACTTCTAGAAGCAACTGTTGGTGTTGGAATGCTGGTTTACAAACCATTCCAGTATTTCTGACCTTTTAAGCTAAGAAACTGAGGGCCTGTGTGCACTACCGCTGGCTTTTGTTGTTGCTTTTTTTTTGCGCTGGCAGTGACCATTTTAAATACAAAACCAACAAAGTTCAGTGTTTTCAGCTCCCAGGGTGCAAAAACGTCCTCATTTTAGCTGATTTTTGTCGCTGCACTCACCCTTACCAACCAATCAGAATCAAGAATATTTTTTTTGGAGCGTACAACTTCCAGGGATATACCTTCTGCTAATGCCAGGATATGATTCCCTCAAACTATTTCCATGAAACCCAGGCGATATGTCCAGAAGTTAAAGCAAAAACTAAGCACATGGAGCTATCTAAAACAGAGCTAACAGTCACTACCAAGGGACACGGGCGTTATCTTTCGTAACCTAGCAACACTAAGACAGGCACTCTGAAACTAACATCATTGTACTGGTGTGAAGATGAAAGAATAATTTTAAAAAGTCTCAACAAATGGAACCAAAACGTTCTGCACAGGTGGCATTTATCATCATAAACATAATGCATGTACACGCGTGGCTGCTGTGAACCAGAGAATACACGTGCATTTAGTATACATGTATGCCGACAGGTGAATTTAATAAACATGAATGCATCAGTGGATTGGTTAAATTGAATTCAGCAGGTGACATTATATATGCAGCATGGAGGAATGCATGCAGCATGTAGCATCTAGAAGAGAGGCAGAGGAGTTAGCAGGTGGGTTCTGTTAGGAATGGTAATGAGAGCAGGAGATGCGAGAAGCAGAGACTCTGAGGAGTTAAAAGCCTTATTCACATTCTTTTCTATGGAAATAGGGACAAAGGCGCTACAGTAGAAGTCCAGCAGAGCTGTTACTGAAACACAGGGGGGGGAGAAGAGGCTGAGAGGATGGCAGGGAATGCTTCAGCGAATAAGGGTGCGACCTACAGGAGTTAAACAGGGAGAGAGGTTAGCTTAGCACAGTGACAGGCTGCAGAGGTGTCTGTGCACTGGCATGAGAAGAGAGGAGGTAAAAAGAAGAAGGGATACGGTCTGGAGAGGTAAGGAACCCAAAAGCCAATCACAGAGCTCATCGGTGGGGTCCTGTGAGTCGCTGTCTTACTGTTCAAAGCGGATGTTTCTCAGGTCTCCGTTATTGATTCGGACGATACAGTCGTTCTCCTGGAAGAGGCTCTGCTGCTCGGCCTTGCCTCCTCTCTCCAGACGCTTGACCAACAAGCCAAGAGTCCTGAAATGTTCAAACGCTCGTGTCAACAAGATGCAAGGAGGATGTCCACTGATTCAGTACGGCTGCTCTGCTGTAGAAGTGGACACAGACCCTCAAACTGTGAGGCCCTATAACATGTTTATTTCTTACATCACTTGCCCTTGTTGTTCTGAATTTAAAAAAAAAAAATGCATTCATGTATGCAAACATGTCTTTTCCCATGGTCAAAAAAAAATCATTCAGTGCGATGATATTGAAAGCTTTTACAGGCAGAAAAAAAAAGGCTATGTCTAATTGGTGCTCCTTGCTGTACTTGAAAAGAGTGCGGCCCTGTCATTTGCATCAACAGCGTTGGAATGCAGCAGTCACATTGCATCAGGGCGCTTTAAGAGGCGGTGTGAGGGGGAGGCAGTTTATTCAAAGGCAATCAACACATTCACAAACTCCACTGTCAGGGCCGATGTTTTTGCTGGTGTTAATTTTCTAACCTCTAAGGCTCCCTGTGTTGCTTTTTTCCTCGGCGACTAAAAAAATAAACAAAGTGCTTTTCATGGAGCGGCAGAGAGCGGCTACATTAAAACCCTGATAGCAGGCGCTTTGGAGAGAGAGGCTGGAGAAGTGGAGCTCTGCACCGGATGTCGCCCTGTAATCCAGTGTGGCAAACTGGCTTATGCCTTTCCCCCTGCACAGCCACAGCAAGAGGCTAACTTCACCTGAAAGGGCGCTTTGCGGATTAACGATTCAAGCGTGAGGAAGAAAAATCAAGCGCTGGTAGGAAAAGACGGCACAAGCCTAATCGAGTCCTCCTCGGTGTGTATAGTCTGTGTCCGTGTGCTTCTCTGAGGTACTGTGAGCGAGCGGCGCCTAGGTAAATCGGGGTTGATTTTAGGGGTTTAATACTCGCCCTCGCCTGAGGCTTATAATTCAATATGAGAAGAAATGTGATTACAGAGAGAGAGGGGGCAAAAGAAGTTGAGAAGTTGAAAAAGTTCAGAGACAATTCCCCCCTTGATTACATTTGGGCGACAGCACAATGCGATTTGCTGTGGAGGAGGGGTGGGGGGGGGCTACTTCTCTGATGAAAGCTGGGCATCTCAATCTTGGGTGTACTCTGACATTTCACCAATAAAAGAAAAGTGCATTATAAATGTGCTTTTAGGTTGATTAAGTCGGCCGTGAGAGAAAAGTGGGTATGATCTTGATTTTCAATAAAAGCGCCGCGGTGAGTTTTGTCGCTGCTGATCGGATCATGAAGAAAGTTTTGGACATTTGTTGGGGCGCTGTGCAGCCTCTGCACCATAAAATGATATGAAGCTTTTGGACCCACCTGAAAGTGGTCTGCACTGGGTGTATAAACGTTTAACTCTCTTTCAGTAATGAGAAGGATCTCGGTGTAAATGTCAGAGTATCAACAATGTCAAACACTCACAACTAACTTTCTTTTTAATGGATTCTTGTGGCTATAAAAGGCTGCATGACTTTAATCACAACCTCCATACCTCTGGGTATACTCAAACCAGATGTGAAATTCCTCTAATTCTTTCACAGCTCTGTTCCAGCTGTGTGTGAGTGTGTGTGTGTGTGTGTGTGTGTGTGTGTGTGTGTGTGTATTTCTGAATGTAATGCAGGTATGTTTTCTCCTGTGTGTGTTTGTGCTGTGTGCACTGCTCAGTGTTTCCTTTGAATCTCTTAAAGCTGAAGTGACAGCAGCTGCACAGAAATATGACAGTCACCTGCAGACTCTAAACACACATGATTGATCACTGTAAACTGGCAAATGGCTTCATGATGCCAACCTGTGTGTGTGTGTGTGTGTGTGTGTGTGTGTGTGTGTGTGTGTGTGTGTGTGTGTGTGTGTGGCATTGAGTCTATGAGTGATGAAGTGATTACACATGTGCATCAAAGAGGAATGTCCGGTATTCATGGCTGTGTTTGTGTGTGTAGGTGATGCAGCGTACTTTCCCTGCAGAGTGTGTGTGACCCTCAAAAAGTTTAAGTTCAATCTTTTACCATTTCTGTTAAAACAAAGCTAACTAGTCATAGTGAGGTGGCAATTTGCCTTTTATCTGTCTTATCTCAAAGCTGTCAAATGTGCGAGCCTCGGACTCTGAACCCGAACCCCATCAGAAATCAAAATGAGAACAAGCTCAGCTCTTTGTAATCCCAGGGACAGGAAACATTTTAAGACATTTTCAGACATTTCATCACAACAAAAACACTGATAAAACATCAAAACATTATACACTTTCCTCAATTATTATGTGTCAGGTCATTTAGTAATCTAAGTTGTAGATCTATGTCGTTTGTGTTTATGTCACAAAATAACAGGAAGTGACATCACAATGAGAAAAATAAATCAACAGGGTAAGCAAGAGTAAAAAAAAAAAAAAAAAAAAAGCTCTTATTTGATTTGTTAAAGGCTCTGTCTGTTTTTTCTTTCCTCCAATCGGAGTGAACAGCTTTGGCTCTGGATATTTTGTTACCTGCGGTCCTTGCCACTGAAAGGCACCACGTGGATCCCCAGAGGCCCACCGTCGTTTGACACCTCCACCAGTTTGACTATGTCTCTGGGGAGACGGTGACAGATGGGAGACGGAGGAGAAGGGTGGAGGGGGGGAGGGAGGGGGGGTAAGGGTGTGAATAGGAGAGGAGAGGGGTGACACCATGTGGGGAGAAACAAAACAAGAAATGAGTGGATAAGAAAAAAGGAAACAGGATGATGACAACAGAGAATAAAAGAGTAAATAAGAAGGAGACGGACATAAGGACAATAAAACAGAGCAATCCAAATCAAGTCAAACACGTGTATGGAGAAAAAAAAAAGGGAAAACTCAGGATTACAAATCACTCACAAAGAAAACATGTTAGACTTAAATCAACCTTAAGAGGGAGGAGTGAGGGACTGAAGACTTTATGATTGCAGCTTTACCTGAAATCATTTTTTAAATATTTTTTGGGCCCATAAAATAACGACAATCTTACAATCCTGCTCGATTCTAACAGTGTTAAAGATACAGTTACATAATCTGTGCGTAACACTGTCCTACTAAGAGTCATATTTTCTGATATTTACTTCTAAAACCACACTGTTGAGCCTTAAAGTCTTAAAACTCATTTATTCAGTCTGGCTTTTATATAGTGCTTTATATAAATTAAAATCTTAACATTATTGTGTCGTCTTTTTTATCCTGCTACAATTTTAAATATTCTTCTCCTATGTATTCATTTTAATAATTTATTGCTTTTATAATCATATTTTATTTTTTCATTTTTATACATATTTTTTTCATTCTTATTGGTGTGCATTGGTCGCTCAATGATTTTATAAACCACTTTTTCATCAACTTTTCTGCACTCTTGTAAAGCACTTTGAACTGCAATTTAATTTGTCTGAAAGGTGCTGTATAAATAAAGTTTGATTGATTGATTGATTGGTTGATTGATTGATTGGTCACACACAGCCTTTCCAGTAAGAGAGTTTGTGGCCTGAGTGAGACCAACGATTGGGGAACGAGTAAGAAAGTAAAACTTCAAAAATCAAAAAACACACAGGCTTAACAAAAGGAATAACCTATCACTGCGTGTTTGGCAGGATTAGGCTGAACTCTGATGGGGGGAGAAATAACGCTGCAGTTTGAAGAAAAGAAGAAGAACTGCTTCATGTGTTTGAAACTCAAGTGAGACTCTGATCAACTTTAACACATTGACTTCCTGTTTTATACATCCCAGGTGTAAAAGTCCGTCCATAAGCTCAATGCTTAGTTCTTTGAAACCCGAACTAATGGCAGATCTGTGCACCAATGGGATCAAGCTAAAGGCTTAATCATGAAGGGAAATTAAACTCAAACTTTATCTGGCATTTTGTCACAGATGTAGTTTGGTTTCAGTCCATTTTGTAAACTCTGGTCTTTGAAACCTCTAGAAGAAAACATGCTGGAAAAACTATTTGTTTTTTTCTGGGCCAGCATTCTTCACATCACACGCAGGCACATTTTACAAGCTGCCAAATCTAATCGACACACAGCTTTGATAAAATGACTATGATTAGCTCGGGGAAAATGGGTCCCTTGTTGACAACTAAGAGGCAGGAGAAGGCCGCATCTCTGGGAAATCAGAGGAATAACAACAATACCATACCTGCATATTAAACTGGAGGCATGCAACAGAGCAAAAAAAAAAAACAACAACAAAACAATACACAGCGGTTAATAACAGGTGCTGAATGGGTTAGTGCGTGGGAGAGCTGGCGATGGCGATGGCGAGACGAGGATCATTTTTGCTCGCAACAAAAGAGAATTATGTAAATCAGGAAGCGGGGCTGAAATGAGATATTTTTTTTCTTTTCTTTTTTCGACAAACAAACCTGGATTGCAATAAAGAACCTGCTGGTCTACCTTTAAAATCTTTATGTGTGTAATTATGCAGGGAAAAGGGAGGATAGAGTTGATTTAAACGAGGTAACTTTGAAATGAAAATCTACTTGAAGACAGCTTGATTGTTATTTCCGTGGCTTTGGCCATTATTTCTGCTGCTAACAAGTCGTCGCTGAGATCTGGGGACAATCAGACATCTCTGTCAGCGCAGGAGGAATGTGTATCCAATGTTATTATTACTGGAATGAACAAGAAAAGACCCAGAATGTTCACAGGATTAGTAAGCATGATGACGCACAAAAATAACATTGGATCACCTTTAAATATTGTCCACGTGGGAAAACGTAAAACAAGCTCTGCAGATAATCGAGTCTTAAATATTGCAAATATTTGATGAGCAAACACTTGAAGTGTGAATGTTGAGATTAGAGTTATCTTTTCCCAAACAGGGGATGTTAATACTGAGGAATAAGACTGCTTCAAAATGCATCAATGTGATCAGCAGTCGCTCGTGTGTCAGCAGGTTCTTGAGTTTCAGCGTGAGTGTGAGGACACAGAAGAGAGAGAGGAGTAAAGTAGGAAAAACAAATCCATGACGGGAGGACTTACTCGAGTGACCTCACAGGGGTGTGGTCAATGCAGGAGTCCGCTCGACCAACCGGCTCGATCCTGCCGTTTTCCTCTTCTCTGGCTTCGTCCTCCTAGAAAGTAAAAAGCACAAACGGACAACAGAGGAGTTAAATAACTTGAAAAAGATACCAAAAGGATTCACACATACACACACAGTGATGACTGATTGTTTGTGCTGCTTCCCGTTGATTAGTCTCTACTTCACAAAATGTACAAAAGTTGTTGAGATCAGTAAGCAGAACACTGTTTTGAGATTTAATGGTTGCCACATCCTGTCATGAACTGGCTGAAAGTCATTAGACTACATGTTGACCTCAGAATAATCAGCTAGCATGTTACAGTACACGACCCTAAGTGGCTTCCAATGACAGAAAAGTTGACGACAGTGGATTGTCTGTTTTGTTTGATAGTTAAGATCCCCGTTAGCTTCTCTCTTAAACAGTAGCTACTCTTCTTGGGATTTCCAAGTTAGATCAGATAGTGATGTTATAGTTTTTCAAATGTTGTCAACTTAAGCATCAGACACACCAAACCAACACCAAAGAACAAGTGAGGGTCAACTTTTGATTTGCTTCACGTCACCTTTGCTTGAGCCGAGAAGTTGGAATCAACCACAGAACTGAGTAGCATCTGTTTGATGGTTTATAACCTCCACAACAGCAGGTGGCGATAGTCAGTACTGATCTCAGTATAGTCAGTATAAGTCATCAAAAAGAGAACCAAAAGTCCAAAGACTGGATATATGTTACTATGTAAACCACTCAGACAGTTTTGTAATAAAGCTACTTCTTATTAAGATTGTTTTTGACGATATGGCGCAGACGGCGCTGTCGCTGTCGGTCAGTGGGGTTTCGCTTTTTGAAGAAGAGAGGACTGGTCAATAGAGACCTTCCTCTCAGGCAGAGCAGCTGATTGAACACGGTCAATCCAATGAGAAGTCATAGACAAAAGTCAAGTACTTCCAATTATATGACACACACAAAAAATATATGGCCAACCACCCTCACCAAGGGCCTGAAAAACTTACAAATGGCCGACCAATGGCGCCATGTGTGAGAGGCCTCAGGAAAAACAAAAAAACAGAAAAGCAAACTCCATTCTCTCTATTGGCACCTTCTCAAGGCTACACAGCGCAAGTCTAACTACTGTCCACTAATATTTCTTCCTGATACCCCGATTAGCAAGGTTTGAGCAGGTTTCAGTAGGATTTTGACCGTTTTGTTCAAAAATAAGTTTCTTCCATCGTTTTTGTGAATTCGTTCTTACGTCAATTAGGTAAACTTTGAAAAAAACGTCCACAATCTTTCAATAGCTAAGTAAGCAGAGATGCTAACCTGATGGCGCCAAGAAGAGCAGTTCAGAGGAGGTCTTCCATGAGTATAAAAATACATGCCCTACTAAAAAAACCTTTAGAGATTATGTAGCCTTTGATCTCCTCGAGTGTTTTCTGTGGATACTTGGTACATGTCTGTTTGAAACTGACCCTGCGACACCAACGCACACTCTCACACTCTCACACAGAGACAGGGCACGGGAGGCAAAGAGGAGAAAAATGAGAAGCAGAGAAAGAAGGTCATTAAAATTTCAGGGCGACACCGGAGAGGAGCGACGAGCCAGCAGCAGCAGCAGCAGAGCGAGCTTCCCCGGCAACCGGCCGCCTCATCACTATGAAAATGAAGCTGCCGTTACCGTGGCTGCCGCTACAGTTGCCATGACACACCGGGCGCCTGGAGGACGCACTGCAGCTACAGGGGCAGTGAATGACTGTGTACAACGTGTGACAAACACACATCCATCCAGCCTTGTCTCTCAGTTTAGAAGCTGCTATATGAAAGAGCAGACTGAAACAACGGAGAGAGAAAAACTGCAAGTCATACAGGCAGATCCCAAAGATCTGAATACAGTAAAAGACAGGAAAAATGTGAATCTGATAAAGCTTTCAAACAGGGGTGATTTGTGCAGCGTAACACAAGGAAGAAGACATCAGTGTGATAAACAGAATGAATAATGTTGGTACTCTAAATTGACCTGTCAGTCTTCATTTAGCACTTTGAAAAACAACGTGCAACAGTGTGGAGCAGAATACACAGAACAAAAACAGTGAGTAAGAAATGCTCCTGTTGATTTTCTCTGTTATTTCACTCCCTTTAAAGTATAGTATTTAAAGTACTCCCCTAGTATAAAGTCAAACCCGGTGGTGGAACGAGCTACCAAACCTAATGTGATCTGCAGAGTCCCTTAGCACCTTTAAGAAAAAGCTAAAGACTCAGCTCTTTCATGAACACCTACACACTTTATGATATTAATGATAATAATAATAAAGTTTATTTATAAAGCACTTATCAAAACCAACGTCACAAAGAGAATTTATTTACGATGATGATGATGGTTTTTGTCTCCGCCTGTTTTTAAATCTCTTCTTAAGACCCATCTCTTTCCCCTGACGTCGACTTATTTATTTATTTCTTTAATTTATTTTTTGCGTGCCTATTCATTCTACTTATGTTTTATGTCTTTATAACTTGATTCTGTATTTCACATGTAGTTTTCTTTTATCTCATGAGCTATTTTATTTATTCTTCTGTACAGCACTTTGGTCAACTGTGGTTGTTTTAAAGTGCTTAACAAATAAAGTTGGATTGGATTGGATAATGACGATGATGATTTAGGATGGTTTTGATGCTGATTAGAACTCGAGAACAGCTGTCGATGTTGTGCTCTGCCTCTGGTCACTTCCTGTCAGCACCTGTGTGTCCAATCAGACTGAAAGCTGTTTGTTTGAACTTACTGACATCACCTCCTCTCTAGACCCTTGCTTGTGTTGTACTTACTCTCTGATGTGTCTGCTAAATGAATCGTAGAAAGAATAAAGTAATAATGCCCTACATCGCCTCAGTGATGATGAACGTTTAAACTGATGTCAATACACTTGATGTATCTCCAAATATGATTAAAATTTGACAGTGTGACTCCTCAAATACACTCCTTGGATCAGTAGAGATCCAATACTTTTCCTAAACTGGCTCTTTATTTAGAGAAAACTATGTTTCTGTGCATTTTAAAAGCATTCGATCGATGTTTTTGTACTGTTTAAAGACTTTTTTGTCTTCATGTATGGAGGAGCCATGAAAAACTCACAGACATTTTAAAAACACTCATATTGGACCGATATGATGAATAATATCCAGCAGAACGAGTAACCACTGAAGGAGCCTGACAAACACATCTCACACAGTTTAATATAAATCAGGAGATGTGAGAGTGAGGCCGGGGCGAGCATCAGAGAGAGGGAGGCGGAGGAGTCGCTATCTGAGGAAGGAGTAAATGAGATCGACATTCACCACGGCACACGCACGCCCTTTATTTCAATATGCACCATCTCCGAGGACTCCGGCTGCACGCTGACAATTCTATCCTGCAATAAGACAGAGAAAGTGTGGGTATGTCTGCGTGCGGCAGGCTGTGTGTGTGTGTGTTCATGGCTGTGCATGGGCGAGACAGGATGGGGGGGAAATGGAAAGATAATAAAGGAGAAATGGGAAGTAAGACCTTAACAACATGTGCAGTAAATATTGCATTTACTGTTATATTTGAAGTAGTGCAAGAGGCCAGTGTTACCTCATTCTTATGCAGAGGTTTTTCTTTCCCCTGTCTCTTCTTATCTATAAAGATAATAAAGGTAACAGGAAACATTGAGCAATGGTAGAATGGACTTGAGCTTGTAAAGTTATTTTCTAGTCTACTCGAAGTGTTTTTACACCGCAGGTCACACCTACACATTCACACACTGATGGTAGAGGCTGCTATTTAAAGTGTCCATCAGTGTTAACTAATCCCATTCATACACATGTATACGCTAACGACGAAGCAGTGAGAGCAACTTGGGGTTAAGTGTCTTGCCCAAGGACACATCAGCCAGACATGTTTACTTTATTTTTTTGTGGCTGCAGAAGCTGGGGGATCGAACCCCTGACCTTCCGTTAAGAGATGGCCGACTCTTCCACTAAGCCTCAGCTGCCCCTACACTTTATTTTCCCACACATTTCTTGAGCTATAGCTGTGAATGTTTGGATCATGTTAGGCCTACATGAGCTTCACCAGCAGCAGACGGAGTTGCACATTTGGCATCAGATCAAAAGTGTCTGAGCAGAAACTCTCCCGCTCTACGAGACGTTAAACAAAAACAACGATCGATCCATTTCTGAATTTCCTTTGTCATGATAGAAATGGACCTTGTTGTGAGAAACTGCTGTTTCTATGGTCGTATCTGAAGATTAATCCTCGGCTAATGGAAGTGATTTTACACTTGGCCTCTCATTCTTTCAAACATCTGCCGTTGTAAAGGTTACAGGTCTGTTTGCTCGGGAGAGATCACAGCCTGCTGATGTTTTATGTATAAAAACAAGCATGTGTAGGCTGCAGGAGGTGGACGGGGGTCCTGTTAGGTAGTCATCATGTTTGTTTACAGATCACCTCCTCTGTATCTGCACGGCAAATGAAAGTGAGCTGATAGAAGTACACACATGATGCTGTATTCATGATATATGTTAGACTAAATGTAGAAGACAAGGAAAAGGAAAACAAAGGAAAAAGATGGGAAGAAAAAAAAACAGAAAGGGAAAATGAAAAGGGGAAATCAAATAAAGAAAAAGAGGAGGAGGAGCAGGAGGAGGAGAGGAGAGGAGAGGAGAGGAGAGGAGAGGAGAGGAAGAGGGGTAAGTACATGAGAAAGAGAAGAAGCAACAAATGAAGACAAAGAGAATAGAAGTCCACCCTAAGAGAAACATTTTAAATATCAGCTTTCAGAAAAACAATAGATGATTTCTTCCCTGACAAACATGAGCAGAAACGTGCGCTGACTGCAGCACTGTGATTGACAGAAGGACCAATCAGCTTTTATCCCCCCCCCCCTACAAAGTCCAGAGTAGACACTTCTTCCCTCCCCACACTTTTCCCAACCACACCATCAAGTCTTTGCCCATTCCCGTTCCTGGGCGTGGGCTCGGCAGACAGATAGCCACATTAATTATTCAGGGCGGGGTGGGGGGGGGGGGGGGGGGTTAATGGCTGG